TAGTAGCAAACTATCCACTAAAATATAAGAAGGGAAATACATCAGGACTACATTGGATTTATTGTGGAATTGTGAAGTTAATTTCACAATTTCACGTTTAAAAAGTTAATAAAAGAGAAAAAGTTATGTTGCCATCTCAGTAAGTACATTAAAAAGCAGTTGTCTAAATTCAACTAGTTTTTACAGTTTGTATCATAGGAAATTTTCTAACAGTAATTAGACTGAAGACTACAGAATATAAGATTAATAGGTAAAAAAAAAAATCATTTGTGTTCCTACTAACCAGCAATGAGTGATCTGAAAATGAAATTAAAAATTCTGTTTCAGTGTATGTTCTCATTCATTTGGGGAATATGAATAATAGTGAAAGGGAATATAAGGGAAGGGAGAAGAAATGTGTGGGAAATATCAGAAAGGGAGACAGAACATAAAGACTCCTAACTCTGGGAAATCAACTAGGGGTGGTGGAAGGGGAGGAGGGCGGGGGGTGGGGGTGAGTGGGTGACGGGCACTGAGGGGGACACGACGGGATGAGCACTGGGTGTTATTCTATGTTGGTAAATTGAACACCAATAAAAATTAATTTATTAAAAAAAATTCTGTTTCATGGATTGGAAAACGTAATATTGTTAAGATGATAATACTCCCCAAGTGGATCTAGATTCAGTGCCATCCCTATCAAAATTTCTGCTGACAACTTTGTAGAAATTGACATGCTGATCCTAAAATTCATATGGAAATGCAAAGGTCCAGAATAGTCAAAAGGATCTTAATAAAAAGAACAAAGTTGGAGCATTCATAATTCCTGATTTCAAAATTTACTATAAAGACACAGTAAAATTCATTAGTTTCCTATTTCCTGTAAGATAAAATACACATTTACACATTCTTTAATGTGAGCTCTGATACTCAGTGTGATCTGATCCCTGCCTGCAACCCCGAGCCTTATCTTTCATACCTCAACGCAGCCATTCTGAGCTATGGATGTCCCTAGAAGTTATTATTACTCTTTCTGTCCTTTCTAGCTTTGTGCTCCTAGAACCCCAACCTCCTTCAGTTCACCTGACAAAATTCTTTCTTATTCCTGGGGATTGAGCCTAGTATAATTTGACCACTTCTGCCTCCACCTATCCCTCCTCCACATTCTTTTGTATTCCTTTAACATCTTCTGCATGCATTTGGTATCACATTTATCACACTATATTTTAATATTTTTATTGCTTATTTGCTCCCCAGTCTAACTCTTTCGTCTTTTAGCTCCTGTGGTTGAGCTCCTTGAATGCTGAAACAGTGGCTTTTTTTCTTCACCCTTTATTTTGTTACTAGCAGGATTCCAGGGTATAGTAGTTTCTCAAAATGTGTCTAGAAGGGGGAAATGGGTAGGTGGATGGATTCATAGATGAATATCTTGAAGTTGAAATACTTTTGCTAACCAATAGCACTTTTTGTCAAATTGCAATTATTTTTCTTAGTCAATTATAACCACTCAGGAGGGGACAAGTATCAAATATGGTATAAGTAACCAACTCTCAAAAATCAGATGTAATGTGTGTTTATGTTTTCTAGAGGAAAAGTTACTGGTGGCAACCCATATTGAATTCCCTTTTTACTTCTATTCCTGAAAGAATAATAATACATTACTGGGTCATATTAAAAATAAAAGACCAGGAAGTAGATTAATGGTTGCCCAAGGACAGGTGGAGGAATTTTAAGAAGTGACACAACAGCTATGGGGTTTCTGTCTGGGGTGATTGAGCATGTCCTCAATTAGACAGTGGTAATGGTTGCACAACCTTGTGAATATACTGAAAACCACCGAATTGTAAACTTAAAATGGTGACTTTTATAGTATATGAATTATATCTCAAAAAAAAGTGAAAAGTAAAAATGAGATGTTCAAATTAAAAATTAAAGACATTTCAGAAGCTCTAAGTGATTACCTAAATGACTTTGACAGAAAATAAATTTTTAGTCCATCACAGGATGTCTGAGTTTGCGTTACAGTGAGGAAGCACTCTGTGATTTGTATTTTATATTTTTTCTGTCGTTTGTTGCTGTTTACTCTAAATCCTTGAGCTGTCAGAGAGCTTCTCTTTTCTTTCTTTTTCTTTCTTTCTTTCTTTCTTTCTTTCTTTCTTTCTTTCTTTCTTTCTTTCTTTCTTTCTTTCTTTCTTTCTTTCTTTTTTCCTCCTCCTCCTCCTCCCCTTCCTTCCTTCCTTCCTTCCTTCCTTCCTTCCTTCCTTCCTTCCTTCCTTCCTTCCTTCCTTTTTATGAAAGAAATGTCGCTGAGTCAGCTACAGATCACTTAATAAGGAGGAAATATTTTATTTTTTTTTAATTGGAGTTCAATTTGCCAACATATAGCATAACACCCAGGGCTCATCCCGTCAAGTGCCCACCTCAGTGCCCGTCACCCAGTCATCACCCCCACCCCCCGCCCACCTCCCTTTCTACCACCCCTTGTTCTTTTCCCAGAGTTAGGAGTCTCTCATGTTCTGTCTCCCTTTCTGATATTTCCCACTCATTTTTTTCTCCTTTCCCCTTTATTCCCTTTCACTATTTTTTATATTCCCCAAATGAATGAGACCATATAATGTTTGTCCTTCAAGGAGGAAATATTTTAATCTTTGGTTTAATGTATACACAGAATTAGAATGTTCTTAATTTTAAAAGAAGAATGTTGCTTTAATTTTAAAATACAAAATTCAAGGGTGCTTGGGTGGCTCAGGTCATGATCCCAGGACCCTGAGATTGAGCCCCACATGGGGCTTTCTGCTCAGCAGGGAGTCTGCTTCTCCCTCTCCTTCTGCCTGCTGCTCTCTTGCTCGTGTTTTCTCTCTCTTTCTCTCTCAAATAAATATAGAAAACCTTTAAAAATATATAATATAAAATTTAATCATCAGGTAGTACAGACTTAATTCATAGATAATTATAAAATCTGTTTGTTCAAATTCTAACCTTGTCTTTGAATCACTGGATTCATCTTTGCTTGTGAGGAGCATGGAGACCCGAGATTCCTTCAGCTTTTCCTATATCCATTCTCAGTTTGACTTCTCATGTCCTATGGGTTGAACTTGTGACTCATCGTGGTATAAGTTTGTTCTTTTGTTCATCTGTTTAACATATTTGTTGATGCCTGTGTATTCCATCACTCACTCTTCTAGGCACTGGGCTGAACAAGGCAGAAGTCCATCCTCTTAGAGCTTTTGTTACAGATGGTGGCCAGATTCTACTCCTTCCTAAAAATTCACTTATTGAGGATAGTTGAGGGCTTAGAGCTTTAGGCTGACTTTTGGGGGAGGGGGAGAAGAAATCCTACTCTTCCTTCACATTCTGTTTATTCACAAAGTTTTCCTCAGTACTATACAGAATTAAGTGCCTATTTTTGTGTTGTTCCTAACACAGGTTATATAAGCCTCTATTCTACTTCTAAAAAGCAGATCTGGTCATGTCACTCCCTTACTTTCCCTTCCATTACTTTCAGGTTGAAGTTCAGGCATGACTTACAAGGGCTTTCAGAGTCAGTCTTGTGTTGAACTTTGAATTCCTATAACATGTCCTGTTTCTCTTTCCATACATGCTGTGAGCTTCCATACATGCTGTTTCATTTACCCAAAATGGTCCTCTCCCTACCCCTTTACTGTGGCTAGCTGCTAATCATTCAGATCTCATCTAAGATAGCACTTTCTCTGGTATACTTCACTTGACCAAACCCCCTAGCACAGTCTGGGGTACTCCACCCCTGTACTGCTGTGATTGTGATACCATGTATTGCCATTTAACCAAATACACTACTTGCCATTCACTAGAGCCACCACTGGATAGTATAGTCTTTGTCTTTCTCCTTTTGTTTTATCCCTCAGTTCCTAGTACAGTACATACTCAGGATTTTTTTCTATTTTCTCTACTAGCCTATGTAGACTTGAGTTGAGACTGTGTGTGGTATATCATAAGTGCCAAGCAGATATTTTAGCGAACCAGGAGTGATTGATTGTATTGTTTAGTCTTGGAGTATAGCAGAGAGAAAGACTTGTGAACTGCGTCTCCCTCCCCCAATCTCTTCATGTTTAGCATCCTACAAAGTCCCTGCTCTGTCTCTCCATCTGAGCCAAGTATAGGGGCTCAATGTGCTACTTTTTTAAAAAATATTTTATTGGGATCCCTGGGTGGCGCAGCGGTTTGGCGCCTGCCTTTGGCCCAGGGCGCGATCCTGGAGACTCGGGATCGAATCCCACATCGGGCTTCCGGTGCATGGAGCCTGCTTCTCCCTCTGCCTGTGTCTCTGCCTCTCTCTCTCTCTCTGTGACTATCATAAATAAATAAAAATTAAAAAAAAAAGTTTAAAAAATATTTTATTTATTTATTCATGAGAGAGAGAGAGAGAGAGGCAGAGACACAGGCAGAGGGAGAAGCAGGCTCCAGGCAGGAAGCCCAACGTGGGACTCGATCCCCGGTCTCCAGAATCATGCCTTGGGCTGAAGGCAGTGCTAAACTGCTGAGCCACCCAGGCTGCCCCAAAGGAGGGTTTTAAAGGAATGAAGATAGATATGCCTGGAAACTAGACTCTGGGCATCTCTCCTTCATAAAACTGATCTATGAAAGCACTGTGGACTGTGAAATCTGCAACTAACCCCACTAAATCTGAGCTTGTGGGTTAGACTTTCTGATTTAATAGAATTTAGCTTGTACAACCTTATGAATGTTTTCTCTGAAAACCTTACCAGGGACTTTAATGGTAATTTTTTTTCATGGGTTTAAAAAAAAAAATTGTCCTTAAAAAAGAAGAAAGTATGCCTGAATGATAGTGTTTTATTTTGCTCTGCACATTTTCCCCTTTTATCTGTAAACACAATGACATTTTTATCTCACTTTTTATTAACTGAATATGCTTTATCTGACTTTTGTATAATGGACTTTTATCACTTAAAATAACCATTGATGAAAAATTCCATTCTATTTAACTGAAGTTTTTGGTTTTTTTTTTTTTCTCTTGTACCTAGTTGTTGTGGAATTACAAGCTGAATCTAACAACGGACCCCAAGTTTGAATCTGTGGCCAGAGAGGTTTGCAAATCTACCATATCAGAGGTAGGTTGTGAAAGAATTTTGTGGGTATTTAATGGCATAGAATAGAAAATTACATCTCTTGACCAGACCAACCATTAAGGGGAGAATGACTGACTTAGTTACTTTACTTTTCTTGGAATTCACATCTGTATTGGCTGAGAGAAAGGCCGTGGTGGCGGGGAGTATAACTAGCCTCCTTTTTGTTGATAGTCACCTACATTTATCCTAGGATGCCGTTGATTCAGACACATTGGAAATCAGGCTCCACTGGTCCCCAGAGGACACAACTTCTGTCATCAGTGCTGTGCTCACACTTTTTGCAATCTGCTAATGTCTGAAGTATATCAAAATGATCTCCCCAAGAGGCTTATAAATGTTTCTGAGTTATGCAGTTGGTTTGATTGAACCATAGAGGCATATGCTTCAAACAATAGGAGTTAACATTAAAAAGGTTTGTGAAGGAATCATACATGTTGTAGATAGATGTTGAAGATAAAAACAAAAATAATTAATGAAAATGTATAGCATTGTATGGATGCTAATTGGGAAAATTTTTTCAATTATCTTGGTTTATTGTGAACAACAAATAATATTAGTGAAAATTGTGATAATTGAAATTTTTTTTTAATTTTATTTTTTGGAATCAGTGATAAATTCCAAAAAGCCAGAGATCTCTGCATACCAAAGTATAGAATCACAAAGAACAGTTGCTGTTTTTTACCACAAGGTTAATTCTACATCTTGCAACACATAGCTAAGTCTTCAATCTACCCCACTGATGACTTGAATTCAAGACCACATTCTAAGGTCTTAAGAAAGACCTTTTTCGGGATCCCTGGGTGGCTCAGCAGTTTATTGCCTGCCTTCGGTCCAGAGCGTGGTCCTGGAGTCCCAGGATCGAGTCCCACGTCGATCTCCCTGCATGGAGCCTGCTTCTCCCTCTGCCTGCATCTCTGCCTCTCTCTCTCTCTGTGTCTCTCATGAATAAATAAATAAACCCTCAATTTGTTCCTCATTTAAATCATTATGGGACCTTGTAGAACGTGTTTTCTTCCTCATACCTCCTAATACTTGATCTATTTTATTCTTTTAAAGCGGTAATGCTTCTTCATATTTACTTTGGGGCTCCAGAATAGAATAGCATATCTTTGAAAATACTGGCTTCAGCTTTAGTATTCTCCACCTCATATTCCCTTCACTACCTGTATGGTTAGGTGTATACAACAGTTTGATTGTCATGTGAAATTTAGCTCTGAGTCTGTGCAGATTCATCAGAATAATTTCGCTCTTTACTAGCTTATAAAAGCTATATATATGTATAACTGGTTTTCTTGTAATATTTATGTAATGGTGATCCTCTTATAACCTTTTGGGGTGTTGTGGTTTTGTAAAAGATTTCAAGTAAAAATGGGAATTTATCCCTCTAGAGACAGATTATACTGGAGTCAAGAAAATTAAATATCAGGAAGAACACAGTTACCAATAAATGTTTTAATCGATATCTCCTTCCTATCCTTTCTTGTAATCCTACTTGCAAAGAGAAAAACAGCATCACAAGAATACCTGCAAACTACAAACCAGACTTGTATTTACTCTCCATCACTGAGCTAAATACTGCTGACTTTCCTCCTGCTTCATGTCAAAAATAGAATGATGTCAGCATTTTTCTAATGACACCTTATGAATCCGCTCCCCAGCCACTTCAGAGTTTTACTGCCATTCATGGACATCTTGATGACTTAATGATATTTTTTGCTGTTAATCATAGAAATCTTCCTTCTGTTCTATTAAGCCTCTAACAAGTAGAATGGTTGAAAGAAAGCATAAACTTTTATTTCAAATACTACGCCCTGTTGTAATTGGTGGTAAACTTAAAATACAAATAGGTACTGTATCTCTGTGTTTCAGTAAAATCTCAAGTGATTAAAGCTAAATATACAGTTAATTTTCCCACTGGGCTCCAATTCAAAATGTGCTGCTAGTTTTTCTTCAAATTTGTGAACTATTGATTGCCCAGTATAAGAGCTATATGAATAGTTGCACTTCACTAAGTTTCAAAACCCAAGTGTCTGCCACTAGTTCTGTGTTCTTTTTTTTTTTTTTTAATTTTTTTAATTTATTTATGATAGGCACACAGTAAGAGAGAGAGAGGCAGAGACACAGGCAAAGGGGAGAAGCAGGCTCCACGCACTGGGAGCCCGACGTGGGACTTGATCCCGGGTCTCCAGGATCGCGCCGTGGGCCAAAGGCAGGCGCCAAACCGCTGCGCCACCCAGGGATCCCCTAGTTCTGTGTTCTTATATGGGGTTTTGGTTTTCTCAGTGGTTGAATTACAAATGCTGAGATTTTTCATGCAGCTATTCCTCCTTTCACTTTTGAAACTCACCTCTGCTTTGCTCAAAAACAAAACAAAAGCCCTTTTCCTGGAAATACATTTTTTGGGGCGTGTTTAAAAAAAAAAAAAAAGCTCAAGGTTAAGTCGAAAGAGTTGCATTCATCTTGATTGTTAAAGATCTCTGCTGCCTCTTAAAGCCAGAGTGAGAGACTGCTTAAATTCTCAACTTTGCTTCTTGAAAAGTAAACATAATTTTCTGTCTTGAACTGAGTGTTTGACTTGGTCTGGATATGATACAAGAGTTAGGCTTGAAGCTTATAAGATAATGAGTGTGTGGTATATTCTTCACCTAGCACCTTTTGGGAAGGGAAAGTATATTTGTTTTGCTCTCTCTACCTATTTAGGATAGGTAATGTAATAGTGGAAAATGGTCACTATTGATTTTAAGAAGCCAATAAAACATTTTCTTCTTGTTTATTTCAAAAATAAACATTCACATATAGGCCCCTTACTCTTGTCAAAACTACCATTTCTGTTTTTAATTTCTTCAAATGCAATAGAATTTTTCCAAACAACCTTCCCTATCTTATAATTCAAGCTTACAGCCTGACAAGTAGATTTTACTTTTTTTATGCCTGAATTTCAGCGTTTTTTGGCTAGTTTGCTTCATTAGCACTTGGGGTTTGGGAAGCACTTTGCAGGAACACTAACCATATGGAATTACTCTGTGCTTGATCCACTGGAACATGTGTCTAAACCACCCAATTGGATTACAATGGCCTTCCCCTTCTCAGGCTTCTTGTCACTTTAAACATGTTTCTGTTCCAGACCACTGTGGTGAAACTGGGATTCTATCAGGTTCAAAAACATGTCTAAATCCACAGTTAATTCAGAACATATTAATGTCATATCAAGAAGTAGTGTTATGCCTTCCCATCTCCCTCCTTTTGGCCATTAGGTTTACCTAACAATAATAGTTTGTTATGTAGTTTGGCTTGGGACATGCCACTAGACTTCAGTTCTACACCTGTTTTCCAGAACTATGTCCCAGATTATTCTCCTCGCTGTCCATTGCATTCTTTGTATGAATAAAGGGGCTTCTCAATAGAACCATTTTAAAGCTACAGATGTTAAAAGCTCTTTTTAATTATATCTCAATAAAGCTGAAATTTTAAAAAATTGTTGCCAAACTCATTAATCAGGTATTTCCTAGATTCCACAGCAATCTGAGTAGGCATGACAGTATTTACTTTAAAACAAATGTGTTTCTAAGTGCTTTCCTCTTTTTTTCCCAAATATAGATGGGAAATCAATAAGAAAATGTTAGACATTATCTCTTTTGTAAAAGTTGTCTGATCCGAGAATAAAATACTTGTATAAAACAGCCACTTTCTTTGGAGCAGATTAAAGAATGTGCTGATGAACCAGTTGGGAAAGGTTACTTGGTTTCCTGCTTGGTGGATCACCGAGGCAACATCACTGAGTACCAGTGTCACCAGTATATCACCAAGATGACAGCCATCATTTTTAGTGATTACCGTCTAATCTGTGGCTTCATGGATGACTGCAAAAATGACATCAACATTCTGAAATGTGGCAGCATTCGGCTTGGAGAAAAGGTATCTACTATATTTATACTAACTTTACCAAATGAATGAAAAGTTTTGTATAGGGGCACCTGGGTGGCTCAGATGGTTAGGCGTCTGCCTTCAGCTCAGGTCATGATCTCGGGGTTCTGGGATTGGGCCCGAATTCAGGCTCCCTGCTCAGCCCAGAGCCTCTTCTCCCTCTCCCTCTGCCTTCTCCCCACCGTTCATCCTCATGCTCTGTCTTTGCCTCTGTCTCTCTCTCAAGTAAATAAATAAAATCTTTATAAAAAAAAGTTTTGTATAACTAGCATGGGAAAAATTTAGGGCTGGAAATGTCCTTAAAGTGGAGGTCCAGACAGCCTCAAGATCTAAGGCTAGTGGACCCGTGAATGTATTTCATCTTTTTGTGGTATTTCAGTACTGCATAGGAAAGCAGAGGAATTAATGTCACCCAAAAGTAGTGTCATCTTCAAAATACTAAACCAGTTGCTGGTTACCTATAGTGTTCCCTGGCAAAGCATTTTGTTGTCTTGTGAGCAAAGTAGTTGGAGTAGAAGAGACTTGAATTTTCTAAACTTTCTCTGCATATACCTCATTGCTGCTATAAAAAAAATTAGTAAGCATACTGATATAAAAGAAGTTATTTAAATATTAGAAAAGTTTAAGATTATGAAGGTACTTCTGACTTGTGAGCAAAAAGGTACTCTATAAATATGATCTACTGCTATCTTTATCTCAGAAGAATTAATTTTAGTAAAGACGAGAATGAAAATAACTATCTAGCTGACTTCTTTCTTAATTATGTGTGGTCTTACTTTTGTTCTTATGAGTCTGTTGTCCATAAGGTCACAATGGAGGTTTGGCCAGGTTTATTCTGAATTTGTTGGCTCAGCAAAATGAGGGAAACTCCTGAGAAGTAACAGATGCTGGGGTAGAGGTGGTCTGAGGCATATTTCTGGCGTCAGCTATTAGTTGCTGCTGCTTATTAATCGGCTCTTTAGGAAATATGAGGGAAATTAAAACCTTTTTGTCTTTTTGCCCTCTATTTGTTCATTGCCCCGTGGTTTGCTGGCTTCCATCACTGACAAAGGGGGCATGGTGTTGAATGCTAGAACTGCACACACCAGTCCAGATGACGGTTTTAGTGCTGGTTATTGTCTGGCTTTCACCAAGTATCCTTTCCTTCATACCAGCATAGGGCTCTGGCCCTTTCATAGGGCACCTCTGAGTCGGTCTTGAGAGCACTGTGAACTTGGCATAGAGCTTTTGGCAGCTGAAGAAAGACCAGTTTTAATAAAGAAGGGAGATTTCTTCCTTGCCAGCAGACTCTAGAAATGGCACAAAAGCACTTAAGCTACTCTTATAATTCAGGAAGCTCTTCTGACTTTATTTAGGGTGTTAGAGATCATATCCAATTCCATATCTCTTTTTAAAAGCTTCACATAAGTGTTCCAGACACATTTTTTAGGAATCAGGGATGACACTTTTCCATATTTGTGATTACAGTTTACTTCTGTTTGTAGTAGTTTTTCCCTGTTGACACCAAGATAATCGCTGGTTAGGTTCCCACTAGCAATCTGAATTGTCACTATAAAACCTGCTTTCAACTGCACATATGAGTTATTAAGTCTCAGAGCTTGAAATAATCACAGAAAACAGTAGTACCAGCAGAGCTGGAGAACTGGATGGTGAGAATTATTTGCCCAGCTTTGTTAAAATAACAAGAACAAAAATGTTCCTGTGGATCATCAAAATGTACATTTTTGTCATGTTTATCTTTGCTATACCTACCTATTAGGGTGAATTTCTGTTTATACCAATCCCCTATCCTAGCTTGAAAGTCTAGGAGGATATTAAGATAGATTCATGCTTACACTCCTGAAAAAGCATGTTCCTTCCTATATACTTCACTCTGGTGCTACAGCCAAGTTTGAAAATGGGGAAGGCATGTCCTCAGACGCTCTTGGCTTTTTAAACTATAGTTTATTTCTCTGAGGTCAATTATTTAGATATGCAAATTATCCTGAAAATTAACGAATCAGCTTCTGGCTTGTCAATTTGAAATTTGCCACTGAAGCTTACAAACTCTTCTGTGACTGGCTTTGAATTGACTTCCTCCAAAGGTCAGAGAGGGCTAATGGCTAATCTGTTTGTACCCTGCCTCTGTATGAAATAGAAAATGATGTCAAAACTTTGATTTTTTTAAAGAAAATGTTAATGTAAATTTGAGAACAAAGACTATATGTTAATAAAAATTTTTCTAAATAAATATAGTTAAAATGAAAGGGCAGATCTTCAAAAGTTAAAAGTATGAATTATTTCATCTGAAGAAAAAGAATGTGAGATCCAATACAGACACTTAATTGTGGACATGTGCTACATTATTACTACTTTTAGACTTTTCCCTCAGTAGTTACATAATTTTATCATTCGCTGCTTTTAACCAGCTACTTTGAATAATTTGGATAGTCTTTTTTTCCTCTTTATGTAGTGAGGAAGACCACAGAAGACACCAGAAACATTGAAATGGAGAGTGGTTTATAGCAGAGATAAAAACTGTGAGCTCTTCCCTACCTTTTTGAGATTTAGTGTTATTTTTCTTTGTTCTTTAAGAAAAAAAAGATAAGGTTATGGGGAAGAAAAGATACTACCTTTATCAAATTGCTAAAACCTGATCAAGATACTTAGTAGTTTTAAGACAGACCTTTATCTCACCACAGAAGTCCATTTAAGTCCATTTACAGGATTATTTATTCCTATGTCAAGTCTATATGTTAATAACTTAAACTTTTTTAACCTGAGTAATTTTATTTTCCTGTAAATAATGTGCCAATGTGTAGTTTACTTCTTTTGCTTTTGGTCTTATTCAGTAATTAGCCATGCAGTCTTCTTTGTCAAATATTTGAATACATTTCAATTATATAACTAAAATGGGCTGAACTGAAAAAGCTCAGAAACTCGACGGAACTGAGAAAAGTTCTTGAAATATGTTTATTTGAAAAAAATCATCTAAAATTACAATGAATGAAAACATCTAATGGAGTTGATGGTATGGCCCAGCACTGATAGGTGCTACAATTGCTGTAATTATAATTAAATCTTAGATTCCTTAGGGGGATCTCAAACCACGATGATGCTGCCTTTATTTAGAGGCAAATGGAACCATTAAGAAATATAATAACCCTAAATAGATAATCTTACTGGTGGCACATTTAAAACAGTTACAAACCCTAAGATACAGGGAAACACTCACTACATGGAAATCATTTCTTTACCCTGCGATGCCAGGACTAAAGGCTAAATCTAAATCAAGAGTTGACAATCAGATTATTATTTTCAACCACTTTTATATGATTAAGACTTATTGCTAGCAGCCATCTAAGTGTGTTATCACGGGCTACTGAACTTTGGTATAGGATATTATTTTGTTTTATGAACTAAGATCATGTTTATAATAACTTCTTATATACTGTAAATAGGAAGTAGTATGTTTCTGTTGAAATGTTTATTATCAGGGGATCCCTTGGTGGCTCAGCGGTTTGGCGCCTGCCTTTGGCCCAGGGCATGGTCCCAGAGTCTCAGGATCGAGTCCCACGTCAGGCTCCTTGCATGGAGCCTGCTTCTCCCTCTGCCTGTGTCTCTGCCTCTCTCTATGTGTGTGTCTCTCATGAATAAATAAATAAATAAATCTTAAAAAAAAGTTTATTATCATAGGTTTGTTTTCCTTTGGAAAGTGGAAACAGGCCTTTCCTAAGTGGGCCATAGTTAGACAAGCTTGAGTGTCACTCATAAATTAGGAAGGAAAAATAAGGGATCCCTGGGTGGCACAGCGGTTTAGCGCCTGCCTTTGGCCCAGGGCGCAATCCTGGAGACCCGGGATCGAATCCCACGTCAGGCTCCCGGTGCATGGAGCCTGCTTCTCCCTCTGCCTGTGTCTCTGTTCTCTCCTCTCTCTCTCTCTCTCTCTCTCTCTCTCTCTCTCTCTCTCTATCATAAATAAAAAAAGAAAAGAAAAAAAAGGGAAGGAAAAATAAGCCTTGTTCTGGATTTCTGCGGTTTGTGTCAATCCTTCTCTCTGTCCTTCTCTTTTTGTCACTTGTCTCTCAGAGTTTTGTTTATCTTATTCAGAATTGCCCTCCAAAAAACCTTTTTGGTCCTCTCAGGCTTTTATGCATTAGATAGAATCATAGAGCTAGTGAGCAAGGTTCAGGTACAGATAAAGTATAGGAGAGATGAGAATCTGCTAGTAGAGCGTGCTTCCTAATCTTTTTTGGGTCAGCAAACCTTTTGAAAATTTAATGAAAGCTCTGAACCCTCCTCAGGTACAACAAAGTAGAAGAAAAACTATACAATTTTTTTTGTTGAATTGAAGTTTTCCTTAGAGTAGATGTTTCCCTGCCTGGTTTTAGGAATCTTTTTATTATGTACAGATGATTTCATAGACATAGTATTTTACTATAACAAGATAATGTGGGATCCCTGGGTGGCACAGCGGTTTAGCGCCTGCCTTTGGCCCAGGGCGCGATTCTGGAGACCCGGGATCGAATCCCACGTCGGGTTCTCGGTGCATGGAGCCTGCTTCTCCCTCTGCCTATGTCTCTGCCTCTCTCTCTCTTTCTCTCTCTCTCTCTCTGTGTGTGTGACTATCATAAATAAATAAAATTTAAAAAAAAATAACAAGATAATGTGTGTATATGTAAATAAGAGCATATACTTCCTGCTGCTTTGGTTTGCTGTATTTATGGTTATACCTCTCAAGTTTTTTGAAGCATGTCTTCTGAGTATAACAGATTGGGGCTCTTGAATAGAAAATATTTAGGAGAAATATCTCATATTTTGAGTGAATGAGTGCTTGTAGTTGCTATGGGAATGATGCAATGTACAATTAAAGATAATTGGATGGTTTTAAGAAAGCTTAAACGTAGTTTTTATAAAGGGTGGTAATCTCATTAAATCATATTAAGATAAATCCCAAACATCAAAGTGAATATTATACTACAAATTGTACATATCAGGGTCTTTGTGGACAGTACAGAGTAGAAAAATGAGAAAGAGGGTCTCTGTAATGCCTTTTCTCAATGGATTTTGTGGTTTGTTGTTTTTTTAACTTGACTAAAAGCGATTTTATTGGAGAAATACCTTTCACCCTTAGAGGTTGATGAACAGATTTCTTTAGTGTTATTTCATTATTGACATGAACCATGAACAGAGCATTGGGCTGATGTAAATTCATAAGATTTTTCTGACATTTTAAACCCAAAGAATTTAGGTTTCTATTTCTAGTGCTAACTTAATTATACTTAAATCTCCCAGGATCTCTCTTTCCATTTGTAGTATGCAAATATTCTTTTCTAACAGAAGACTGTCCACATTTTCTGTGACTTCCAGAGGGTGATTTGTTCCCACCTGATTTCTCAGCAGAATATCCATAAGCCAACCATATATTGAATTGAGGGTTGTTGTTTTTTTAAGCAAATGATGTTTGTTAATACCCTTGCTTTTTTAGGATGCACATTCACAAGGTGAGGTGGTATCATGCTTGGAAAAGGGCCTGGTGAAGGAAGCAGAAGAGAGAGATCCCAAGATTCAAGTCTCTGAACTCTGCAAGAAAGCCATTCTGCGGGTGGCTGAGCTGTCCTCAGATGACTTTCATCTAGACCGGCATTTATATTTCGCTTGCCGAGATGATCGGGAGCGTTTTTGTGAAAATGTGAGTCAGCTCAGAAGCTGTTCTTCTCTTTCAAAATATTTTTTAATACTCTAGTCCAAAATAAAATAAACCAGCACACTCTCTTATATAGATAAGGCATGAAATGGAAGGTGGAGTTGTTCCTGGGATAACAGAGAATGATGTTGGATGTTTAGCCTTGATGATTTAACATCTAGTTAACAGTTGGTTTCTGACAGTTTCCACACATTATTTTTTTTTACTTTATCTCACTTCTCAATTTCAGTTCTTAGAAGTCTATGTTATTTATATACAGGAGTCCTGTTTTACCAGGGAATCCTATTCACACCTATCCCATGGCTAAAACTGCCATATTACATGTTATATGATTTTGGCTACAATGAACAAAACAGCAGGTGGCTAACTTTTAAAACTAAATCCTTGATTACTATCTGCAGACCGTACAGAAAACTTGCTAACATTTTTAAATAGAATAATCTGTCCTTTCAACAAAGAGCTGAGAGTAGCTTGTGTATACTCCCACTCTCTTGTTTTGAATTAGGCTTTAACCATTAGAGCCACTGATTATGAGTTTTATTGACTCTAACATAAAATCATAGTCTCACAGACACTTTTGGTTCCCTAAGTAACAGTGTATCTGGGAACAAATGACCGTAGCTAAGCATCATGGGAAAATTTTTCATCTTTCCTGTGATCACTGTTTTCTTCCAAAGGCTACTAAATGTTATAAATGATTGAGCTATTTGTTTAAAAGTAATCACATTTATAATAATTTAACAGAAAGTTCTATGTAAGATTGTGGATAGTGCCCAGCATAACTCCTTAGCTAATTGTTATTGTCCTCATCATCATGTGTATGTTCTATCTTACAGACACAAGCTGGTGAAGGCAGAGTGTATAAGTGCCTCTTTAACCATAAGTTTGAAGAATCCATGAGTGAAAAGGTAAGTATTACTTTGAAACAAACCGATATGTTATTAATTTTTTAAAAGTTTTCTTAAATTCTCTCAATATTCTTTTAAACTTATATCAGAATGTAAATGACTGATAAAGCTTACCCTTTTCAGAGGCGAGACACTTGGCTTTTAGTAGAGAACCAAAGCATATTTTGCTTAAGCCAAGAAAATGAAGCTTTGTGATAGCTAGACATTGGGAAGCCAATTAGAAATCGATTTGGGGAGTAAAATCGGAGAATTATGTATCACAGTCACACTGAAGCCAGCCCTACATACTCAGGAAGCTTAGGCTAACCAAACCAATATGCTTTACAGGTAATTACCTACTTAATTTTTCAGCAGCTGTCTCAGTAAGCATTCTCATTACTGTTAGTCTTCTGTGCCTAGATAAATGTAAGAATCTTTTATGTCTTTTAAAAAAATTATTATTCTTGGTTTTGCTATCCTGCCATTTACTTTCCTATGCAGCTGAAGAAATGTTTCATTCAGTTGCTTACATCATTTACTATTGAATAATTATATTTTAAAAGCATAGATATAAAAAAATAAAAAAAATAAAAGCATAGATATAACTTGCAGAGTGTTAATGTCAACTGCCACTTTGATTCTTGAGAACTTGACTTGAGGGACATTGTGGATAAAAAAGACTACTTTGTCAAGTCACTGTGTTAGAGCCCACCAAGCACTCATGTGCATAGGACAGCTTCTTTGCTATTGCAACAACCAGGAACCCAGGGTAGAATTCCAGGGCTTCCCCATCCATTTACCCCTACCTCTAACAACACTAGTTTCACACACTTGTGTTCGAGTCTAACCAAATTTAAAGTAGGCATTTTGGTGACAGCTGCAGTTTTTGACATATAGTTGGCCATGAGCCCCTGCTGGTCTTAGAGGTCCCTGTGAACAGCAGAACTCCCTGAGTGCTCTTACAACCCTGTTGCTGCACTCTTTATTCAGTGTCGAGAAGCACTGACGACCCGCCAAAAGCTGATTGCCCAGGATTATAAAGTCAGTTATTCGTTGGCCAAATCCTGTAAGAGTGATCTGAAGAAATATCGGTGTAATGTGGAAAACCTTCCACGGTCCCGGGAAGCCAGGCTCTCCTATCTTCTCATGTGTCTGGAGTCAGCCGTGCATAGAGGTAAGAGTTTATTTTTCTTTATACTTTTCAGTCCTTTTGGGATTCACATTCCAAAGCCTCTTACATCTGTAAACATTACTTTCCTCCTGCATTTGATCTTGTGAGCGCACCTGTACCTTACGACTCAGGAACCTTTCTTTATAAAACATAATTCCAGGAACTGAAGGCTTGGTGTCCTGAAGCCTTGTTGAAGGCTCTTTCTCTTAGCTTAGCAATCTCCAATTTTTTTTTTTTAATGTAAGGTATATTTCTCAAATCCAATGATTTTAATTTTTTAAAACACATATTCAACATATTTAGGAGAGTCAGGGTAGCATAATGATTTTTAACATATGAGCTTTGGGTCAGAGAGACATAGCTTTAAATTAATGATTCTGTCATCAAATTGACTGGTTGGATGGCCATTGTTTACATTTCTTTTTTTTTTTCATTGTTTACATTTCTTAATCCCTCCCCAAATTCATTTTTCTTAACTATAAAACAAAAATAGTATTTATAATGAAGAGTTCTTACGAGGATTGAATGAGGTTATTTGGAATAGCATTTAACATTCAATCAGTGATAGGTACTGTTATTGTTAGAACACTGATGATTTTAAGAAACTAAATAGAAACTTTTGAGTCCAAAAGTCAACCCCTGACAAAGGAACCAAGAGGCCTTATAGAAGATCAAAGTTGTCTTTCTTAAAATTGGCTACAAGCTGTAAAAAAGAAATTCCTTGCTCTTATTAAATAAATAGTACTGGGACAATTGGTTAGTGAGTAAAAAGTTAAGTGAAAAACAATCTCTAAATAAACACTGAACTTTTCGTGAATTTTTTTCCCCCCCAATATCTGGATAGTGTAAAAACTCCTAAGCTCGAAAGCAATAGAATAGCAACCACAGACAGTGCATGGTCTTGGACTGAATACCAAACAAAGGATATTTTGGAGATAATTGGAGAATGTTGATTATGGTCTGGCTATTAGATGAAATTGTCCTAAAATGGAAAAGTAGAGATCGTTGACTTGTAAAATACTGTAAAACAGTATGCATAATACTATCTAATTTGAGGTGTTTTTTTTTTTTTTAAAGAGTTAATTTTTTTCTTAAGATTTTATTTATTTATTCATGAGAGACACACAGAGAGAGCCAGAGACCTAGGCAGAGGAAGAAGCGGACTCTCTGCAGGGAGCCCGATGTAGGACTCGATCCCAGGACCCTAGGATCGTGCCCTGAGCCGAAGGCAGACACTTCACACTGAGCCACTCAGGTGTCCCAAAGAATTAATGTTCTTAAAATGCAAATTAACAAGAAAGACTAAGTAAATATACATCCAAAGGCTGTATACAGATAGTTCAGAAAAGTCACACAGATTGCGATTATTAAAAAGACTGACCATATTAAGTGTTGGTAAGGATTTGGAAGAACTGGAGTAATGAACACAGCTGGTGGGAAGTTAAAATAGTACAACCATTTTGGAAAATAGTTTGCCAGTTTCTTGAAAGTTAAACATACATTTGCCATATGACCCAGCCATGTAACTCCGAGATATTTACCCAAGAGATACAAAAGCATATGTCCATATAAACTCTTATACATGAAGCCTCATAGCAACTTTATTTATAATAGCCTGAAACTGGAAATGACCCAAATGTCCATCAACAGTTCAAGGGGTAAGCACATTGTAGTATATCCACATAATAGAAAAATATTACCTGATGATAAAAAGGAATGAACTGTTGATACATAGATGAATCTAAAAATAGTTATGCTAGGAGAAAGAAATTAGACAAAGAAGTACATGCTGTATAACTGTATTTATATCACCTTCCAAAAAAGTGGAAACTGGTAAACTAATCTGTAGTCATAGAAAGCAGATCATTGGTTGATGGTGGAGAGGGAGGGAGAGATTCTCAAGGACCACGAGAAACTTTTGGAGTTAATGAATATGTTTAATATCTTGATTGTGGTGATGGTTTCAATAACACTTACATATGTCAAACTTTCTCGATCGTATGCTTTAAAAATACAGACTGTTTTATGTTAGTTACATCCCAGTAAAGCTGTTTTTTAAAAGAAATTTCTTAAGTTTTCCCAGGTGACATTTTTAGCTCAAAGAAGGAGCCTGGGGAGGCTATAGTGAATATTTGAAATGTAGTCTTTTCCACAAGCTTTAACTCTGTAGCCCAGTAGGGATTGTTCTTGGCTCTCATTGTTATCCCCATAATTATCTTATTGATAAGACTTTCATTGGTACAGCATTTGCATGATTAGTAGTAAAAAAACTATATAATGCAGAACACTGTCAAGATAAAACCCTAGTCTCTGAAGTCTTAAACTCATTTTATGCTGATAAATACTCTTTCTGTATTCTAAGCTTTTCAGTCTAGATAATAGTGTATGTTGTATTCTGGAGGAAAATGTGTACTTTTATATGTGGTGATATCTGATAGTAATGCTCACCATCCATAATGTTGTGACTTAAATCCTAACTTAGGGCGCCAGGTGAGCAGCGAGTGCCAGGGGGAGATGTTAGATTACCGGCGCATGCTGATGGAAGACTTTTCTTTGAGCCCTGAGATCATCCTGAGCTGCCGGGGGGAGATCGAACACCACTGTTCTGGATTACATCGGAAAGGGCGAACTCTGCATTGTCTAATGAAAGTAGTTCGTGGGGAAAAAGGGAGCCTGGGAATGAACTGCCAGCAGGCGGTAAGGAAAAATTTTCTACCACCATTTTGGGTGTTACATTTCATCAGCTGAGGAACCTCTTCCTGATACTGTCCCAGCTTCCTTTATCTGAATCATCGGTGACATCATGGTGAACATTGAGTACTAAGAACCAGGCAAAATATATTTCAGGCATATATTCATAAGAACATGGAATTTACTGCAGAGCAGAAGTCTGAATTCATAAACAGTAAATGGAGCTATATGTAGTTAAAGAAATAGATAAAATGTATTGTTTACTGGAGTTTTTAAAGGAAAGGTAACTTGCCTAGAGGGAATTTCTAAATTCAGAACCAAGGCAAACCAGGTTCTGGTAAATCAGAAAACATCTTCCACCAAAAGAGGATTTTCCTATCTCTATAGTTTTGTTTGAGTTGAGGCTGAAAGAGAACTGTAATGAATTGAAATTTTCTAAGAGTTTCTTTTTATTACTGATGTGCAGCATACCATAAATACCTGGCCTGAAGGATCAAGAGAGCATTTCAATTTCAAAATCACACCATCTTTCATATTACAGTAGGACAACTATGCATGGAAGGGTCTTTTTCTGTCCCCAAACTCTACTGTAAGTTCTATAAAGGTATTGGGGAAAAAATTAGTGCACTTCTTGGAAAGATAAAGTTACTCTTTTTTTTCTGTTCTAAGATTTTACTGATTTGAGGGAAAGAGAACACACGAGCATGAAAGGGGGAAGGGCAGAGAGAGAAGGAGAAGCAGACACCCTGTGTACCAAGTTCCCAATGGCAGAACTTGATCCCAGGACCCTGGGATCATGACCTGAACTGAAGGCAAACCCTTAACCAACAGAGCCACCCAGGTGCCTCTAAGATAAAGTTCTTTTTGCTCCAGAGTTCATGAACAGTTGAATAACTACAGATCAGGGACATAATATAAAGTTAACAAAATACGTAGATGCAGTGCATCTGTTTCATTACCATTGTCCATATTTATTATTTTTTTTACTAACTAAGAGTCTTTGAACAATTCTCAGTACCAAATGCAACAGTGGTACCTTGTACAATGTATCCCATACATCCTTTAGGATGCACAAAAGATATTATTTAGCTTTGTATCCTAAATTAGGGAATTGAGACTCTTTTCTCAGTGAAACTTTATAAAACCACTATTCAGTCTTTTATTTTATTGGCATTTTTATTAAAAATTGAGTGTTTCAGAAAATCAGAATTTTACAGTCTGAAACTAAATTTCCATAGAATCTTGATGTGTAGTAAAATTTCATCTTAACTTCTATTACTCACCCTGACCCAGAATAGACAGTAAATTATACATCCTATAGTGGAAAAAACGGACAAATATAGCCTCTTCTCCAAAATTCCAAACCCGGCCAAAAGGAAGGCTTCTATAATCTACTGTGGCTTTAGTTAGCACAGTGTAGTTCTTTAGGAGCAGTCCTTGCTAGTGATTGTCCTAGGAAACCTCTGTGACACTGTGTGTGCCTGGGCCTCCGACCCAAGAATGAATCAAGACAACCTCTATTTGCATCTCGTCCTTAATGCGGCATGTGATGGGGAAGGAAGTGGTCAGTAATAAACCTGTCCTTTCACTGAGGCTACTCTTGTCCCAAGACGTACAGAAAAAAAGAAAATAAATTGGTTTAACTTTATTTCATGGCATCTACCACCCAGGGCTTTTTAAAATTTAGTTTATTAAAAAGAGCTAGTGAGTCCACTTGAAAGATAAAGACCACTCTTCTCATCCTTTGTGCCTAGAAGAAAAGTAAGTTCTGAACCTAGAGATTAGTCTCAAATAATGAAATATGTGGTTTTGCCCACATTCATTTTAGCCAGGTGGTTACCATGGACCATGATTTTTAGTCTTTGCTCACAAATATTAAAGAAGTAAATGATCCAAAGGGAGAATATGGTCCTTAGTCATCTCCTACTATATTATCCATTGTCAGTCGAGTGGAAAATATTTTGAGGTAATTTAAGTACATTTCTTTTCTTTTTCAAAGTTCTCTTCCTTGATAGAGTACATTTCCATGCCTGTCAGTGATTGGCCACTAATTTTCGGTTCTCTGCTTGGTGATGCTTTGACTCAGTGATCTCTCAAAAATAGTAAACTGTGAAACATGTAGATACTTTTTATCTTAATGAGTACACACTTCTCCAAATGCACCATAATTTTGAACTTACTAAATTCAGTTAGGGCTGAGCGAGTCTGGGCCCAGTCTCTCCCTGGCCAGAGATGACTATGCAGAGTATTCTCTAGACTGATGGTTTCTCAGAAGCATTTTCCAGGTTTTTCCTAGACAGACAGGGGCTGGAATGGATATATAATAATGTAGCAGTTCATGTTCTTAGTGTTTATTTCCCACACACCTGCCCCTGGATTCCAGAGCAGCAGTGATCCCTACAGCTGTTAGCCCACTAGAGTCTGTAGAGCATTCATTGTCTCCTTTCAGGAGTTGCTCATTGTGAATTCTAAAGGTTTGCCTCTCACTTGTGGGTATTTAACTGATAACTGTTTTGGCAGAGAGTTCCAGATTCCCATGATACTTACAACTTCCCTCTGAAAAAGATGTAAATATTTTGGTCTTTGTCAGCAAACATCATTACTGAAACTTGTAGTAATCTTTCTATCAACCAACCACAGCATTTTGTAGCTTCTCTAAATTGCCACCAAGAATTGGTATAAATAATTTCCATTGCAGAATATTGGAAATCTTTTTCATTCATCTTAATTTTTGACTTTAGAATACACAGAATTGGGATTTTCTCTCTTTATTTCCTTTTGATGCATGTTCTCTGATCAATGTGTTGTGAGGTCATTGCTTTCATATGAGTCCTTCTGGGATAGTAGGTCATGTGTATGAGGATCAGAGAAGGCTCTACTCCAAAGGCTAAATCTGTGACACAAAATGGGCTCTTTTTCTTTAACTTGGAAAAAAAAGGGACCCAAACCAGAAGGACTGTAGTTTTCAAATTTGCTTTCTGTTATTTAAAATTCCTACCCCAAGACACCATCTGCTATCTATCTGTACTAATAATGATCTTTTATGTACATAGAGTGCTTTGCTGTTTATATAACCTTCTCCTATAATTACTCTTTTCTTGTAATCCTCCTCAGTTCATGAAACTGGAGGTTAATCATGCCCATGTTCTCAGAGCTAATATCTGGCAGAGCCAGAACTATTAATAGAACTCAGGTCTTCTGATCCTTAATTTAGAGCTTTTTCCTCTGTGCCTAACTGCTTTCTCCTCAAAGACAGAAAAAAGAAATAGAGGAACATCTTCTCATGCTCTCATTTTATTCCATGACAAAGGATGGACCAAGCAAATGTTAAAAAAAAAAAAAATACTCATTTCCTTTTCTTTTTTTTTTTTTTTAATACTCTCATTTTCAGCTGCATAATGACAAGTATTTTTCTGGATACTTATAATGAACAAGCTCTGGTTTACCTCTTGGTTGTATAAGATAATTGAGGAAAAAGGGAAATTAAAAGTATTGTATTCTTGGTTTTTGTAATTGATATTGCAAGTTAAATGAAATCTCACCTGTTTTTAATAATGTGGAGCACATGTTTTTTAATGCCAATTTATTGGCAGCAAAATTTGTATCCTAGATTTTTTTTTAAGGTTTTATTTATTTATTCATGAGAGACACACACACAGAGAGAGGGGGGGGAGAGAGGCAGAGACATAGCAGAGGGAGAAGGAAGCTCTGTGCAGGGAGCCCAATGCGGGACTCAATCCTGGGACTCTGGGACCATGCCCTGAGCTAAAGGCAGATGCTCAACTACTGAGCCAACCAGGCATCCCTATATTCTAGATTCTTTTTTTTTTTATTTAAACTTTTTGTTTGTTTGTTTTTTAAATTTTTATTTATTTATGATAGTCACACACAGAGAGAGAGAGAGGCAGAGACACAGGCAGAGGGAGAAACAGGCTCCATGCACCGGGAGCCCGACGTGGGACTCGATCCCGGGTCTCCAGGATCGCGCCGTGGGCCAAAGGCAGGCGCCAAACCGCTGCGCCACCCAGGGATCCCTATATTCTAGATTCTTATGACCAAATTAGGTCTATGACTGGAAATGTCTTTTATTTATCCTTCTTCACTCAAGTCTGGCTTGGTTGTGAATGTCAGATTTAGCAATCTGATTAACAAGCAGGCAGATGTGAAGGAAAAGGCAGCCTTTATGTTGTAAAGACCTGTTACTTTATACAAATATCCGTGGATGGTCCAGACAGGTAGGCAAGCAGTCCCCACAGTGGCTAAACCAGAAAAACTTGCACTCAAGACAGAGAAACCAGTTGGAAAGTATTTGGCAGGCATGAGTTATCAAGCTTGGCCACTGACAATTGTACTACCTTGTTAAGAGACCACTGTGATATACCAGACTGAGTAACTATTTGAAGAGATGACACTGCTCCTCCCTGATGTGTAAGTGACTTTCTTCTTTCTTCTTCTTCTTTTTTTTTTTTAATCCAGCTGCAGACACTGATTCAGGAGACTGACCCTGGTGCAGATTACCGCATCGATAGAGCTCTGAATGAAGCTTGTGAATCTGTAATACAGACAGCCTGCAAACACATAAGATCGGGAGACCCAATGTAGGTTATCTTAAATGTGGTATTCATATTGTGTTTTCTTTGGCAGTGTAGCATCAGGAACATTCCTTTAAATGACTTTTGGATGGTTTTAACATCTTAACTGGAATTCTGTTAAATAGAAACACATAGATACTTCTATTAAAACTAGTATTGGGATTGAGACCTCGGCTCTGCCTCATTGATGATGTAGATACCTAGACCTAGCATTGTGACTGACAGTTTATTGACTGAGCATGTATGAGCCTGTACATTAGATCACTGAATAATTCTGTTTGATGGTCAAATAAAAACGAAAGAGAAGCATTCAGGAGAAAGTGACACATACTTTATCTCTTTATATTCATCCTTAAATGTATACATTAGCTATTTGATAATTGTTAAAAATTAATTATAGTTGAAGTAAGAAATGTTGTGGTTGGAAGATATAATCATGGACAAAATGAACTCTCAAGTTGCACCCAAGATTTAGGAAAGCTATAAAATACTTGAATCTCATGCAGTAGTTTTATTCCATATGATGCACAAACAACTCTTAAAACCAGATTACAAGTAAAGAACAGGTTTCCCATTCTGCAGAAATCTTTATAGCCTGCAGCCGGCAGTACCCAACGATAAAATGAATGCAGTCCATGTTTGTCATCATGCTGCTATGCATACACTCCCGCTGTTCATGCTGTGGCAGGGGATTTTAAAAAAGGTATTCTTCTTTAAAGCTTTTTGTGAAGTTAAAAGAGATAGACAAACACAGTGAAGACTAATGAAAAATATTTACCACCATAAAAAATAACTGCATCAAGCATAAGGGGTCAGGGGAGAACTGCTACAGCTAAAAATCATTTGAAGATATTGTCAGTTAAATGCAATATGTGGACCTTTTCTGCGAGTTCTGGTTTGAATGAACATATAAAAAGATGTAAGATAATTGGAAAAAAATTTGGAAACTAACAGGATATTACATGACATTAAGGATTTCTAAAATTAATTTATTTTGGTGGACTGTGGTATTATGTTCTTTAGAGAAACATGCCCAAGAATTTATGAACAAAATGATATAGATTTGCTTCAAAATATCAGCAAGGGGATGTAGAATTAAAACAAACTAGGCCATAGGTTGATAAAGCTATGGGAGGGGAAGGTGGCTGTTATGATTCTTTACCTTTGTGTGTGCTGGAAAATTTTCATAATAAACAGTTAAAAATAAAGCAGCTGCACACAGAATCTTATGCAAACTGAGTCCTAAATGCTAAGTGGCCCTGAAGTTGACAGAAAGCATAATCACTATTAGACTAAGTTAGTTTGAATTATTCTCAGAAAAGTAAATCCCTGACTGCCCTCAAAAAGCTCAAGGGCTTTTTCTAGGAAATACTGATGTGAGAGTTCCAAACCTGTTACAATTTCACTCCTGTTTTATGCCCAGGATCCTCTCATGCCTGATGGAACACTTATACACAGAGAAAATGGTGGAAGATTGTGAGCACCGTCTATTAGAACTACAATATTTCATCTCCCGAGATTGGAAGTGAGTATTTTGAAGCCAGAGTCAAGTGTTAAACCTCAGCCTCTCCTGTGTAGTCAGTATATCCTGTATGGCTTGAAATAATCAGTAAGAACATGTTTTTCTTAAGTTCTGGGATGACTGACATGCTCTGATCCCCTGAAAAACCTTTCTTGCTTTCAGAATAGTTTCTAAAAGCTGAGGAAGCCCCTGCAGATCCATCCCCAGGTGTCCTCATTCACTACTACTTTGGAAGTCAGAGTCAAATGTTTCTGATACCACAGACATCCATCCTCAAAGAACTTGGGCACCTGTGGGCAGCAAAGACATCTTCAGATATGTCTCTAAGCAGATAATAGTGCATTTTTATTTTTATTGATTTGTACTGGATGTGGCGATTTGCTTTTATTTCTTTAACTATTCAGAGTTATTGAATTTTCTATCTTAAGAGGCTCTTATCAATAACTGACAACTTGATTCTCTAATTCTCTTCTTATACTGTTAGCCAAAAAAGGGGGAGAATGGGGATGAAATAAAAGAAGGATCTGTGTTACAGTCAGAATCACTATAACTTATTGCTCCAGTGCCCTCCTCTTCCCATGTTTAGTTTGCCTTTCTCCCCCAAGGCAACCAGTACTCGGCCACCTGGGAAGCTGGCTGCTCCTCCTGCTCCCAGGGGAGCTCAGCTGCTTCCTCACTCAGTTGTTTTAACCACTATAGGTTTCTGACAATTGAATATGTTACCCACATACTTTACTGGAAGGAGATGATTCAGAAGATTCCGTGTATTTTTTATAAGATTTTATTTATTTTTATTTTGAGAGAGAATGAGAGCATGTGTACACAAGCAGGAGGAGGGGCAGCGGGAGAGAGAGAATCTCAGGCAGACTCCACACTGATCACAGAATCCAGCGTGGGGCTCGATCTCCCAACCCTGAGATCATGACCTGAACCAAAACCAAGAGTCAGACACTCAACCAACTAAGCCTCTAGAGTGCCCCAGATTCAATGTATTTTTATTTCTCTTCCCTCAAATTAGCCTCGGAAAGGACTACAGAAAACTGTGTGGGAATTTCACTGTACTTTCTCAAGCCATCTAAACCAAAATAATAGAGTTTACTGAGTTTATTGCCTTAATCAAAAATTCCTTCACCCATTATCAAAAAACACTTCACAGACTTAAAAGCTACTCATTAGGTATTAGCCTTTCTCCTCACATTCAGTAACTCTACCCCAAAGTTGACATTATGATATGGATAAAATTAAGCATCCATTGGTCTAATCTGGAGAAGCAGCAGGCTCTTTAATCCACTGTCTCCAGAGTCGAAGTTAAATATCAAAGTATCAGGGTTTTTTGTGTTTTTGTTTTGTTTTATTTATTATTTTTTTAATAAGCATATTCAGGCAAAGTAAAAATATAACTGCCTTACCTGGCATGGGAAAAAGAAGAGGAACAGTTTAACTAGAAGGGAAGTTAAGTGAGAGATTTTGTTCATCTTGGTATTTCCTGATCTTACTGAATCTCTTATATCAGATAGGATTGAATTTCATTCACGCTTACCGAATCAGTATTGAGTGAAGAATTGTGAATTGCTTGGTGACAGCTGTAGCCCTTATGGTCTCATTTCAGCCAGACAAATTAGTGCTGAGTCCACTGTAATGAAGTGCATCTTACATAGCCAGTATGGCCTCCTTGAGGTGGGATTAAAGCCTCTGCACCAAGGTCAACGGACTTCTACCAGTTGACCACTCTATGTTCCTGAAGAACAAAATTCAATAATATCTTTTCACTCTTAACGTTATAGGCTGGACCCTGTCTTATATCGCAAGTGCCAGGGCGATGCATCTCGTCTTTGCCACACCCACGGTTGGAATGAAACCAGTGAACTTATGCCTCCCGGAGCTGTGTTCTCTTGCTTATATAGACACGCCTACCGCACTGAGGAACAAGGCAGGAGGGTATGCACTCTATATTGACTTTATTTCTTATCAACCATTTGTTTTTTAATTAGTTTGCTGTGTATCATTCTGATTTCTGTCATCATAGGAAACTATATTAGTAAATCTGGCAAGGAAGGGTTATTGCACTACTAGAAACTTCATCCACTGAGTGTACATAGAGTTGCTTCATCTTCTTTCCATCTGATTTTACATTTTCAACAAAGTATTTCAACAAAATGTCAGCAGACATTTCCATTCTTTTCTTTAAATTACTAAAATCTAAATGACAAATAGACAAGTATTGCTGCCCTGACTTCATTTAGCTTTAAAGATTCACTGAAACTCTTAACCAGGATAAAATGGTTATTAGGCTTGTTCCGAGTTTAGGTAAATTGGAATCCAGTGTTCATGACCTAAGTGTGTGTTCTCTCCTGAACTGGACTGGCATTCTACTGTACATTCATGGAGCAGTAGCAGATTAGTTTTGCTAAACCAAAAACTCTAACTTAATCTGAAGAAAGCCAGTTCACTTTTTATCCAAGTACTCTGAGAAAAAGATGTTTCATATGGTATATTAGAAAATGTTGAATGTATAATCTCATTCCTAGAGGTATGGATTTTTAGAAGCCTACTAAGAAGATTTAGTCCTCACTCTGGGAAGAGATTTGGGGTGTAGAGTTTGTACAAAAAACTATAACATTATTAGTTTCCTGGCAACAGATTTCATTTATATAGTGTCTTTCTGTTTTGGTTCTAGTACTCTTAAAGTATTTTGCTTATTCTTTTTCATATAGCTGTCACGGGAGTGCCGAGCTGAAGTCCAAAGGATCCTACACCAACGTGCCATGGATGTTAAGCTGGATCCTGCCCTCCAGGATAAGTGCCTGATTGATCTGGGAAAATGGTGTAGTGAAAAAACAGAGACCGGACAGGTAACTGACATAGTATATCTGACATAAAACTGTTTATCTTATGGTGGTAGTAATAATAATAATAATAACAACATTCATGATTAATATTGTATATAAAGTACAGCACTATATAATGCATCTCTATTTTGTTAGCATTATTTCTTCTTCATAAGAAATTCTAAGAAAAATTTTCTCTTTGGTCTCTATATCAGGAATAATTATACTTTTCCAGAGCAGTTGACTGGTTTATATATTATGGTTACTATATTTTGTAGATGATTATTATTTTCCCTCTTTGTGTTGCCTCTTAAAAAACTTGGATCCAAAGGTATGGCCTGCCTCTAGCAAGTATATGAGATTTTATGGTAGGCATCTAGGTTACTGCTAGTTCCATCCCACTTTCTTTACTATAATTTCTTTAACTATTTTTTAACTTGTTTTAAATTATTTTATATTACCTTTTTTTTTTCTTTTCTCACTTTTATAAGGTACATTAAAGTCCTTTTGAGGGAAGGCAAGGTATAAACATAAATATATATAAATACTGGCATGTGTGAATAGTGTGCATGCCTTACAGTAGTCCTGCAAAATATGAAGAAATGGGACTTATTTTTCCCATTTAGTGATTGACAAAATTTAGGTGAAGTGTATTTATAGGAGTGAGGTGTACTGACTTCTTTACCTAATACTCAGATCTAATCCCAGCCAGACACCTGGTCCATTGTCTTATAACCTTTCCATATAGGAAAGTATAGAGAAGAAGCAGCCACCAAGAATTACAAGGATGCTGTGAATGGTTCCTAAAGATTTTGTGCCTGATTTAAAAAACAGAAAAGCTATATTAATACATTCTAACAAATTAAGTTAGGAGGTGACTTCTGTCTTAAGGCAGGGAAATGAAGCAGTGAGGAATAACTACTTGTTTAAAGCTCCAGTAATACTAGAACAAGGTGTGAATTCAGATTTCCAGGTTCCACTTTTACTGCTACAAAGCACCCTGTGGGATTAAACCACCAACAACTCACCACGACAGGGATTTGGGCATTTTTAAGAAGCGGCATGACTTACTACTCAGATTTGTTGGCCCTGGCAATATCGTTTTCAGCAGTCTGCTTCCTGGGCCTGCGGCAGTTCTGTCAAGTTTATTGTGGGAAAATGCCTGCAGTGGAGCTTTCTGCTGCCTTTGTCTAACGAAACAAAGGATATGGTTATATGGAATCCCAGAAAACAGTTTTCTTTCACACCCCCTTCAAAGTAACATTGAGGGGTCACCTGGGTGGCTTAGTGGTTGGGTGTCTGCCTTTGGCTCAGGGCATGATCCCTGAGTCCCTGAGTCCTGGGATCGAGTCCCACATCGGGCTCCCCTCAGGGAGCCTGCTTCTCCCTCTGCCTGTGTGTGTCTCTGCCTCTCTCTGCATCTCTCATGAATAAATAAATAAAATCTTAAAAAAAAAAAAGTGACATTGAGAAAACTGCACTGTATTGCAGCCCATCACTGTGAAGCTCCTCTTAGGAAAAAAGATTCTGTGAGTGGGATTTTTCCCTTAGCTGTTTTTCTTACTCCAAAGGTTTTATGCATTTCTCTTCAGGTGTTCATCCCCACCCTTTGTGGCTGTTGTATAACTCCTACAACCCTGCTCGTCCATTCCTATTTTGGTTCTAAAACAGAGATTCTTGCAGAATACTAAGTTAAACTTGGCCCTTTAATAGAGCCATTTGCTGAGAAATAGCTGTGGATATATTTGGGAAAGTGAGCTTCTTTTCTACTTAAAACCTCTAAATTTCTAAAAGGAATAGTAATGGATTGATGCTATAAAGTCACTCTAGGTCGGGTTCCAAAGCCCAGAAAAGATAGCTTTTAGATGCCCAAACCCTAGTGTGCTCACCTACTTTGCAGTTTTCCTCAGGATCCTTCTGTGTGGGGTGGGGTTAGAATCCCACATTTGAGTTGCAGAAGCCATCAGCTCTATGATGTGTTTTGGGCCCTGGGTCCCAACCTACTTTGCTCACGAAGAGTCTTAAAATATTCCATGTCTTTCATTGTGAATCTGTTGTTTGATGATTATCTACATGCAGATTTAAAATGGGTGCAAAGATACCAAAATGCAGATAAAAAATGGAATGGCAGGTTGTTGATGGAATGGAATAAAGGCCTGATAAAATTTTTAGACTCTGGGGATGTCTGAACATTGATTCTTATTGGACTTATCGATTTGGCCTTCTGGAGGATTTGCATGGCTATTGTACCCCCTTGACCCTCTTAACCACCCTGTTACATCTAGTACATATCTTTTCAACAATCTCAGTTTGGGGACTCAAATAAAGCTTTAGTGTTTCGTTCAGTGAAGTAGTTTTAAAAAGAAAAGATAAGGAGGACACTGAAAAGGAAGTAGACACTGTTCTCTTGAACAGCTTCCCTTGTTCAATTATGTAATTGAAATATGCCAAAGGATTGCTTTCTTATTTGCAGGAGCTTGAGTGCCTCCAGGACCACCTCGACGACCTGGCTGTAGAGTGCAGAGATATAGTTGGCAACCTCACCGAGTTAGAGTCCGAGGTAAGCAGCTTGCGGCCAAAAGATAACAGGTGTCCTGTCTACAGCCTGTCCTCTTTTCTCAGTCCTGCCTTTCTTGGCCCCCAAAAGAACCGATTCCTTCTGTTGGCTTTGCAAAGAAGTATATTGTGTTGCTTCCTGAAACCCTTTCTTCATATCTCCCAAGAAACATCCTACACACTCAGCCCTTTGGTTTTCATCATCAATTAGAATTATCACAGTGATTAGACCAATCTGTTTCCTCTCCTTTAAGAAAAGATAGCAACTGTGCTTTGGATCTCTTAATCATATGCAAGACTAAAGACTAGTCCAAGTATCCCTATTCCTGTTCTCTTATTTTAGCTCTTTCAATTAGGTCATCTGGTCATGTATGTGTCATCAATAATAAAATTAAAGGCTGGGACTTCCATTTGAACGTGGGAGACCACATTTAAATACATGTGTTTATCCCTGTTTCATCCTGAAACCCATAGAAATATTAAAAAAGAAATTAGAAAGTCTCATAAGCATAGACATGTTATTTAGAAATACAGAGAGCATTGCTGGGAAGGGAGCAGCTAATGTTAAAATTGTCTTGTGGGGGCAGAAATTAGGGAAACGGGGGATTGCTCTTTTTTTATCTTAAGCCTTTTAGAACCATTTGGGTTTTTTTGAATCATTTGAATTATCAAAATTGGCAATATGTAAAATTATATTTCCCAACTAGTCTTTTTTTTGCTTTCTATTTTTCAAAAGTCTGTTGCTTTCTTTCATTTTCTGTCATCTGCCTTCTCCTGTTCTCATTGTCCTATGGGCTTTTGAGGACATTCTAGGGTGTGGTACTCTTTAAAGGAAGGTGTTATTTCAGCAGCTAAGTGCTGCACAGAGGTTACTGTCTGCTTAAAGACATTTGTGTATGTTCTGCAGAGGCAGTGGTTTGTCACCTGTTAGGAGCTTATAAACTAAAGAAATATCAGTTACCCATATTTTCATTTTGAACTGCTTCGCCATTTGGAAAAATGCCAAACGCTAAACTCTAGTATTACTGTTTAATGTTTTTTCTCTGCACTTTTCTTAATTCTGCTTTCTCTTTTTTGCTCAGGCTCAAGGGCTATCTCCCTCTAGAGAAACTTGCCTTTCAGAATATGATGGAGGAGCAATTCTGTCTGTGTTGGGGCTGTCTAACCCAAAGCTAGAATAGCTCCAAAGTGTACATCTTAGATTATGCTACTGATTTGGAAACACAAACTGCCACCCCTAACTCTTTCTAAAGCAGAATTATTAATATCCTTAATCTTCTACAGGATATTCAAATAGAAGCCTTGCTGATGAGAGCCTGTGAACCCATAATTCAGAACTTTTGCCATGTAAGTAATGTCTAGAGAAACAGATTAGCAGCAGAACCAAATTCTCTGGGACTTTGGCCCTCAAGTATATTGCACTTACCTCTGTCTGCAGCATGTATGACTCCCGAATGATAGATTGACAAATTAGAGTTGAAAATGTAAACAAATTAAGAGGGGGTCCCACCATCCTGGGAAGCTTTATCGGATTATCCTTGGTAGGTGCCCTGGTATGTGGTTAGCAGCGTTTGTTGAGACGCCCTTCACAGGGGACAGAGGGAGGCCCTCCTGAGCACGGCTGAGGTGCTTCCAATACATGAGCTCAGGGTTTGTAGGCAGCAATAATAGCTTCTCCTTGTAAATTGAATGAATTCTGTTACCTTATTACTTTATTCACTTACTGAACTAGCTAAATTGTGGGGATAGAACCATAAGGATCTGACCACCAGGAGGCAGTGTTAGGCGTGATCCTGAAGGCTGGTTGCTGGCATCATGAGGGGAAAAGAGCGAAAGGCCCCGCACAGTACATGTTCTTGTTGGAGCTTTGTGCAGGGCAACTTGCTGTGCAACCTCTAGTCCACTGAATGTTTATCCTCATAATTTCTGAGGCTGATTTTTATATAATTTATGATTTATCATGTTGAGGAAGGCTCTAGAATCAGTCTTGTTTTCATTTTTTATGAACTGGGGTGCACAATTTGTTCATTAATTGTTAGAAATTAAGTATAAGTGTCTACTGCATTCCCCAGGACGTGGCAGATAACCAGATTGACTCTGGGGACCTGATGGAGTGTCTGATTCAAAACAAACACCAGAAGGATATGAATGAGAAGTGCGCCATTGGAGTCACCCACTTCCAGCTGGTTAGTAACGCCAGGCAAACCCTTCCTGTCTTGGCTGCTTAGATAGTTCTAAATTCCTTTCTCTTCCAGAGCATCAGAGCACCTCTTCTGTGAAAATCATTTTTTCCAAATATATGTCCTTTTCTGGTTCTCAAAAAATGTGGTCTTTATCCACTATGGCCAGGCACAATGGTAGGCTCTGGGAATGCAGTGCTAAATAATATGGAGTCTCTACCCTTAGAGAACAGGCAGTCCAGTGGGGATAGAGATGAGTGAGTCACATTGCTTGCTTTTGTCAGATATGTTAGCATTTGCTTACACAGCTAGTATCAGCAGTGCCTGCTGTTTTGTGTTACTATTCAGTGCAGCAGCCCAAATATCTATCAGTACACCAGGCCCTAAGCCTTTTTTTTTTTTTTCTTAAATCATACTACCCAGGTCTGGCATCCAAATAAGGTTAAACTGTACTCTTCATAGTTGGCACAGATTTAAAGGAAGTGTTTCTGGTAAAGCAAGTACTTCCTTCCCGGGAGGATGAAATCTGTCATCTGTGTAAAATTGACCTCTTCTCAGGGCCTACAGCCTATCTGGCTGCCTTTACTAAATGATATCAAGGACCTCTGGAGTGTGGACACTGGAGACAGTGGGCAACAAACAAAGCCTGCCCTAGTCAATTCCATGTCTCTTATTCTAGTGAGAGACACAAAAACACAGTTACAAATAAACACAGTCTCAGGTGGGTCTATGAAGAAAAATAAAGCCCTGTAAGGGCTGAAGGGTGAAAGAGAAAGACTTCAGAAGGAGGTGTTTAAATGGAAGTGCCAGGGGGTGAGGAGCAGACCATGGTTGATTGATGGCAGGGGAAGGGGAGCGCTTGTGGCAGAGAGAGCAGCATGATGGGAATGGGAGAATTGCAGAGTGCCTGGAAGGCGGGCTTCAGTACTCTGCAGTGTTCCCTAGCACTACTGATTGGAGCTTGCCACAGTGTTGCTGAGTTTCTTTCTCATCATCTTTTTCAGGTACAGATGAAGGATTTTCGCTTCTCTTACAAGTTTAAAATGGCCTGCAAGGAGGATGTGTTGAAGCTTTGCCCCAACATAAAAAAGAAGTATGTAGCTTTTAATTGATTCATTCTGCTTCCCTAGAATCTGGACAGATATCCGGTGTTCTGGTAGGATTAGCCTCAGAAGCCTGCACTCTCCCGCAGTAATGTGCCAGTACTTGGACTGTGTAGCCAGGTCATCTTGATAGCTGCCTGGAGCTACAGGGGGCGCAGGTGGTTCTGACATGGAGAACCCAGAGGCTAAGGAAGCCGTTTTAATGTTCCCAGCTTTGGGCTGTCTGACTGAGGAAGCAGATCCAGACTGTGCATGTGCACTTAGAGAAGTAAGGTACAGTGTGAATGAGAACTTAACCCACTTCCCCTCGACGTCATTCCATTATGTCAGCTCTTCGGGAGAGCAGCAGGGGCTTTTACTGAGTTTAGAGGTCTAGTGAAGAAACAAAAACTGTATTCATTTAAAAATTAGGTCTCAGTGAGAGAGTGATGAGCTCTTATAGCATGGCTGTCCCAGTTCTTCCATCTTAATCTTCGTCAAAGACATAGCCCAGAGTTAAGAGCAGCATTCCTCTCTGGTCACATGTTTTTAACAAAACAAGCATTGAACTGTCCTTGCATACATGTCCCCTCTCTGGCCTCCCTGCCAGGCAGGAATGTAGCCTGCCTTCAGATGTTTGGAACTACTGCTTTTAGCACTCCGTGAACACAGTGAGACTTACAGAGAAGGTATTCAGAAGCAAGTAAAGGGGTCCTGCACTCTGGGGTGATGATCTGGTCCCTGCCCCAGCCTAGCTCTCTGCTCTCATGTGGCTCCATCCAGTCTCAGCCTTCTCCTTTCCTTGCCAGGGTGGACGTGGTGATCTGCCTGAGCACCACCGTGCGCAATGACACTCTCCAGGAAGCCAAGGAACACAGGGTATCCCTGAAGTGCCGCAAGCAGCTACGGGTGGAAGAGCTAGAGATGGTAATGCCTCGTAGCATGGCCTCTGGACCCAGAAACACAGGGGCAGGATCTAGAAAGTTGGGTGAAGGGTGAGGGCAAATTGGAAGATTTAAGTCACTATTGTGATTGTTAAGACTTGGAGCCTTCCACTGAAATTTGACAGCTTGTTGCTTTACTTTTCCTAACCAATAAAATGTTTTTACCACGTGTAACTGGAAGTTCAACTATAAGGCAGGCTCTAAGCATGTGATACAATCATTGCATCAGTGATGCCCTCAAGAGGGCAGCCCCGGTGGTGCAGCGGTTTAGCGCCGCCTGCAGCCCAGGGCATGATTCAGGCTCTCTACATGGAGCCTGCTTCTCCCTCTGCCTATATCTCTGCTTCTCATTCTCTCTCTCTATGAATAAATAAATAAAATCTTAAAAAAAAAAAGTAATGCCCTCAAGAGGGACACCTGGTGGCTCAGCAGTTGAGTGTCTGCCTTCACCTCAGGGTGTGATCCTGGGATCGAGTCTCGCAACGGGCTCCCTGCGTGGAGCCTGATTCTCCCTCAGCCTATGTCTCTGCCTCTCTCTCTCTCCATGTGTCTCATGAATAAATAAATAAAATCTTAAAAAAAAAAGCCCTCAAGGATCAAGGGTCTCTCCCTATTGTCTCTGCTATTCACAGCACCAGCTTAATTATAAGGCTGGTTTCCCTCATAATGACCACCTGCAAACAGCTGGGCTACTTGCTGCAACATTTGTCTCCAGCAGCAAAGTATAAAGGGAAACCTCCCTTCCCAACAGTCCATAGCAAGATCCTTCCCTCAATAATATATATTTTAAATTCTATTTATTTATTTGAGAGAGCACAAGCCTGGGCGGGATGGGGGTGGGCAGAGGGAGAAGCAGACTCCCCACTGAGCAGGGAGCCCGATGTGGGGCTTGGTCCTAGGACCCTGGTATCATGACCTGAGCCAAAGTCAGATGCTTAACTGAGCCACCCAGGTGCCTCTCCCTCAATTTTCGTCTACCAGTTTGAGAACTTTGCCCACTCCCTGACCAATAGCAGTCTCCAGGGGAGTGCACTGATGAGCTTACAGATCCTGAAGTGACACAGTTGTTGGCAAGTCAGCTGCAATGTGTACTGTAAGAAGAAACTTCTTACTTTACTTTTGAGGTTAAACCATGTTAAGAAAACAGCTAAAAGTATGTTTAATATATTCTGTATTGTGAATCACACTTCACCTTGGTTTATGGAAAAACTAGTAATGAATACTGAACACCAATAATATCACAAAAGTTCCATTACCAGATTTTCCTATGGAGCAGGAGTGATTCAATAATTATGTTTAATTATGTTTAAGTGGAGCTGCCTTGATGTCCTATTATAATTAAGACTTTGGGTCCCTAGCTTTGAACTTTACTCTTTTGGTAAAATAGTAATAATAAAAGTAGAACCCTATATTTTACATAATGGTTTTAACTTTCTAAACTGGTTTCCACATCATATGATTTGACATCATTTCACAGGGGATCCCTGGGTGGCTCAGCGGTTTAGCACCTGCCTTTGGCCCGGGATCGAGTCCCACGTCAGGCTCCCAGCATGGAGCCTGCTTCTCTCTCTGCCTGTGTCTCTGCCCCCCCCCCCTCTCTTTCTCTCTCTCTCTCTCTCTCATAAATAAATAAATAAATAAATAAATAAATAAATAAATAAATAATAAATCTTAAAAAAAAAACAATAACATCATTTCACAGCAGTCCTGTGAAGGGGCCTGGACAAGTGACAGCATTTTGTTTTGCAAAGAAAGTCCATCTAGCTAGTTAATGGCAGAATTGAAACTAAATCCCAGATGTCCTTGTACTATGGTAGCCACACTGCTGCTACTTTGCTATGTAAAAGTTGTGATCACTAGACAAGATCCAGTCAATACATGAGTGTATAGAACATTTGACATCTCCGGTTTAGAATAAGCTCACTTTTCTCTGCTGGCTCCCTTTTCATGCAGACAGAGGATATCCGCCTGGAACCAGATCTGTATGAAGCTTGCAAGACCGACATCAAGAATTACTGTTCCACTGTGCAGTATGGCAACGCTCAGGTAACTGTTTTTATTTTCTAATTATGAAAACGGGAAGGTGACATTTTAATAATTCTTTGCTGGTGGGACCTCCTCACATTCTATCCAGCCTAATAATCCCCTCCTTAAGCCATACCAGACTTCTCCCAAAGGAAGTTCCTTACCTGCATTCCTCTTGATCTCCTGTTCATTGTCTTCCCTTTATCAGGTTACCTTGTCCTTCCCCACCATGTCCGCCTGAGAAGCTCTTCATGATCCTTCAAATGCCTCCTCCTCTCCATAGCTTTCCTAACACCATGCACCTCCCTTACTCTGTGCCCATTGCACAGAAGTTCTTAACTAGTTCTTATTCTTATGTAATAATCACCTGGGAAACTTTGTTTCTTTAATGCACAGAACAGGGCCCTACCCAAAATTGTCGGGAATGAAGTACAACCAAGTGATTTTTTTTTTTTTTTTAATGTTCTTCCAGTGACTCAACTACCTTTTCTAGTTCAAGGCATTCCATGGTGCTTTAGCCTTTGAGATAGTAGCTTTGTTGTCTTCTTATATCTGTTATTGCTGTTGCAAAGTCTGATGTCAATCTCATCCTCATTTCTGTGCAGAGCATCTCCTCTGAGTTTTCTCTTTAATACCCATAATTCTGCTGTGATGTAATCATGGATGGAATTTTTTTTTTTTTTAAGTCTCTTTAGCTTGGGACACCTGGGTAGCTCAGCAGTTTAGCACCTGCCTTCAGCCCTGGGCATGATCCTGGGGTCTTAGGATTGAGTCCCACATCAGGCTCCCTGCGTGGAGCCTGCTTCTGTCTCTGCCTATGTCTCTCTCTCTCTCTCTCTCTCTCTCTCTCTCTGTCTCATGAATAAGTAAATAAAATCTTAAAAAATAAAAGTAAAAATAAAGTCTCTTTATCCTACTTGGCTCTTTCAGTCTTAAAATTCATGTTTTTCTTCAGTTTGAGGAAGTTCTTAATTACTGGTTTTTCAAACACTGACTTTTCCTTCCTTCTAGAACTCAGACAGTTGGAATATCTGAATCTGCCCTCCATGTTTCTTAACTTTTTCTTTCATACTTTCCATTTCTTTGCTGTATGTACTGCATTGAGGTGTAATTCCTCAGTTCCACTTCCCATCTTATATGTGCATTCTTCAGCTCTGTCCATTCAGAGACCACCTGTTTCCAAGATCCATGATGGGTTCTTCGCACAACCATCTGTTCTTGATTCTCATTTACCATTTCTTTCTGTATTGTCCTGAGGATATTAAGTATATTTTTTTGGGATCCCTGGGTGGCTCAGCGGTTTAGCGCCTGCCTTTGGCCCAGGGCACAATCCTGGAGTCCCGGGATTGAGTTTCCACGTTGGGTTCCCGGCATGGAGCCTGCTTCTTCCTCCTCCTGTGTCTCTGCCTCTCTCTCTCTCTCTCTCTCTCTCTCTCTCTCTCTCTCTCAGAAATAAATAAATCTTAAAAATAAATATATTTTTTGATTGCTCTATTACTTTTACTCCTTTCAGTTACTTGGTGATTCCTAGTTGTGTCTTCAAGATTTCCTAGAAGTCTTATGACTTTGTTTACAACCCTAGTTATTGCAGCTCCCCATCCACTTCTCTTCTTTATCATTTGTTTATAATATCTAAAAAGTTGGTGTAGGGAAGGGCAGATTTCAGGATACACTTTATTCACTATCTTAAAATCCATCATGTGGCATTTTTATGCTTTTATGTTAACCCACTTGTCTTTTTTATTATAGTTATTTGTTTATAAAAACTTGCCCTGTGGGATTATATATTCTTCAGGGATAAGGACTGGGTTTCATTCATACCTAGCAACTAATGCTCTATTCTCATGTGGTAAATGGTGAGTTGAATGAACCTCTTGGAGAAACCAGGAATCCTGAGTAGGTTTCCTTCCTTTTAGACTCCACTGCAGCCTGCTCAACTCATCCATTATTTTTATACAGTCTGGTTCACTCTTAGCCATCAAGCTGTGAATCTATAAATATAATTCTCCTTGCTGAGCAAATTCTGATTCCTGTTGCTTAGGAATTAGGAATGGAATGAAAGAGGCCGGAATGCATTCAGGACTGAAGGCTACAGTCAGAGCACATGGATTACCAAGCTCTGGTACACCCCCTAACATGACCATGATTCTTGTGCCCTAGATTATTGAATGTCTGAAAGAAAACAAGAAGCAGCTAAGTACCCGTTGCCACCAGAAAGTTTTTAAGCTGCAGGAGACAGAGATGATGGACCCAGAACTAGACTATACGCTCATGAGAGTCTGCAAGCAGATGATAAAGGTAAGGGATCCAAAACCAGGGGGTAAGCACAGGGTAATTAAAAATAACATCAGCTTCTTTAAACTTCAGAGCAAATTTGTGTAATCTTTCCATTCAACCTTTTTTATACAGATGACACAGTGGTTCTCCTAGTGTGGTCCCTAGACCAGCCACATCAGCATCACCTGGGTACTCAAATGCTTGGGCCCACCTTGTATCTACTGATTCAGAAACTCTAGGAGCCGGGCTGTGAGGTTTAACAAGCCTTTCAGGTGATTTTGATGCAGGCTCAAATTTGAAAACCACTGAGCTAAGCTAACTGACCTCCCTTTTACCTAAGGCCCAAGTGAATAGATAATCAGTGAATATATGATTAGTCTTTTAGGGTGGTTAGTGGTAGGTATACTGAGAAAGCCACCGCCAAATGTCCTGATCATCCGCCCACCACAATCAAAAGGCTTTTCTGTTCTACGAGTTCTTTTGTTTCATACACTTCTCCAGTAAACATTCTCTGCAGCAGGACTGACTTGAGAACCTAGATGCCAGTTCCTGGATCTATCCACATAAATAAAGAGAGTTAATCTAAGATTCTGATGCCTTGTTTAAAATAAAATGCTTTATTAAAATCAACCTAAAAATAAAATAATACTTTAAAATAAAATGGTACTTCTTGGGCACCCCGGGTGCCTCAGCGATTTAGCGCCACCTTCAGTCCAGGGCCTGATCCTGGAGACCCGGGATCGAGTCCCATGTCGGGCTTCCTACATGGAGCTTGTTTCTCCCTCTGCCTGTGTCTCTGCCCCCCTCCCCATCTCTCATGAATAAATAAATAAAATCTTTTTAAAAAGTGGTACTTCAGGGGATCCCTGAGTGGCTCAGCAGTTTAGTGCCTGCCTTTGGCCCAGGGCACAATCCTGAAGTCCCGGGATCGAGGCCCGCGTCGGGCTCCCTGCATGGGGCCTGCTTCTCCCTCTGCCTGTGTCTCTCCCTCTCTCTCTCTCTCTCTCTCTCTCTCTCTATGCCTATCATGAGTAAATAAATAAAATCTTTAAAAAAATATAAAGTAAAAAGTGGTACTTCTTACTCTATCAGATACCAAAGAGAATTATGAAAATTAGAAGTATCTTTAGCTGGGCCTGGTAGATTTGAGTCCCAGGGATCCCTGGGTGGCGCAGCGGTTTAGCGCCTGCCTTTGGCCCAGGGCGCGATCCTGGAGACCCGGGATCGAGTCCCACGTCAGGCTCCCTATATGGAGCCTGCTTCTCCCTCTGCCTATGTCTCTGCCTCTCTCTTTCTCTCTCTCTGTGTGTGTGACTATCATGAATAAATAAATAAAATCTTTAAAAAAAAAAAAGATTTGAGTCCCATGTAAAAGCAGAAATATCAGACTCTGACTTCAGGGCGTTGTGTAAGATTTTGATGACTTTTATAAAAATCAGTCAGCAAGCCACGCCAGCAACCTGTATTAAGATATCAGTAGACTTTAATTAGCAGATAGACTGTTGATTAGCACATAGAGATGGAATTTATTATTAGTCCAGAATGGATCTCTCTTACTTGAAGGATATTAACAAGTGTTTGGGGGCTAGGCACACAGTTTGGTAGGATTATAGCCCCTATAGTTAAAAGATGAACTAGACCAGTTCTTTCCCCACATTACTGTTGACATTGACTCGTGGGTGATTTTTAAGTTTCCCATTGGGATTGGGTAGATAGGACTTGTGGGCGACCTGGCCCACCTGGTACAGTGTTATGTTCATACTTAAACAGTATATAAGCTCAGGAGATGACATGTAATATAACAGCCATGTATGTACAGATTCAGTCCTGTGCAAAATAGGAAACAGTGAGGGTAGCAGAACCACGAGAGATATAGTAGAGAATAGATGAAGAAAAGGGAAGTTGAGGCTGGGTGCGTATATAGACTTAGCTGTTTCTCTTGTACCAAGTGATATCTTCAAGCCAGTTCTGTCATTAGAACACCAGTAGATGAAAGAGTGATATGGATGATGTTAATTGCTGTATTTAAATAACAGCAATTCAAATACTTCAAATAAATAACTTCAAATAAATAAACAAACAAATACTTATGTAAAACTACTTCAAATAAATAAAAAAACAAACAAATACTTATGTAAAACTTTATTTCTTGCAGAGGTTCTGTCCAGAAGCAGATTCCAAAACCATGTTGCAATGCTTGAAGCAAAATAAAAACAGTGAATTGATGGATCCCAAATGCAAACAGATGATAACCAAGCGCCAGATCACCCAGAACACAGGTAACGTCGTGGCCTGGCTTTCCTGGTTCCAACTGAGTATGGCTCCAGTGGAACTGAGTTGATATATACCTCCCTCATTAAACTACAGGAGTTTTGTTGTATGTGGATTTTTAAGGGTAGAATAAGCAAATTGACTTCCTTCTTCAAAGAGTATCTGGGAGAACAGAATGAAAATCGTAGGAAGGAGGAGACAGGAGTAATGGCTGGAATTCTTTGAAAAGTCTAGAGATTTAACAAAACTTCGTGCATGGGGTGGGAGAATGTATGGGTCATGTCTTTTAGAACAGAGAAGTTTCTGCTCTGAGTTCCAAGACTTTGTAACATAGTGGGTATTCTCACTCAGTGTTTTCCAAAACATCTGTTATGGGGAAGGTTGGGGATGGCTGCTTGATTTTTGTGAGAACTACTACTGGTACCAGCAGACCCTGCAGAGCTGCTGCAAAGGAGAATTTCTGGGGTCTTCATTTCCACATTTACTCTTTCATTAAGTTCTATTGCTGGTTAAAAACAGCATAGTTAGGGCAGCCAGGGTGGCTCAGTGGTTTAGTGCCGCCTTCAGCCCAGGGCGTGATCCTGGAGACCCGGGATTAAGTCCCACGTCGGGCTCCCTACATGGAACCTGTTTCTCCCTCTGCCTGTGTCTCTGCCTCTCTCTCTCTCTCTGTTTCTCTCATAAATAAATAAAATCTTAAAAAAAAAAAAAAAAAACAGCATAGTGAGAGCTCAGCCAGTGTTGAGCAAATAAATCAGTGGTTTGTTGTCTTAACATAAAGTGCCCCCTTTTGAAAGGTAAATCTCTAATATTTGTGAATCAAGGTGGAATATTTTATCATGCACTTCTGACTTTCCACTCTAGATTACCGCTTAAACCCTGTGTTAAGGAAAGCCTGTAAAGCTGACATTCCTAAATTCTGCCATGGTATCCTGACAAAGGCCAAGGATGATTCAGAGCTAGAAGGTCAAGTCATCTCTTGCCTCAAGCTGAGATATGCTGATCAGGTAAACTGGCTTGAACTCTTCACAGAGGTGTGTTTGGAAAGGCCCCTCTACTCCTGGTAGGTTTTTCTTTGAAAATCCCTAGCTTGCTCCTACTTTCCCAAGACCTTTTTCATACCTTCTCAAATCAGGGGCCAAATAAAAAGCTGAAATTGTCTGATATGCTGATGAAATCTCCCTTTGTCACATGTAGCGGCTCTCTTCAGACTGTGAAGACCAGATCCGGATTATTATCCAGGAGTCTGCTCTGGATTACAGACTAGATCCTCAGCTCCAGCTACACTGCTCAGATGAGGTAGGATTTGGGTATGAAGCTGGTTGTGAACAGAGCTGGTCAGAGAAATGTTTATTAGAGAAAAGTTCTGTATTATTTTTCTCTTCAGCCTTGAAGACAGAAAGAGAAAATGCCCCATACAATAGCACTAAAGAAACACCTGTCCTTGAAAATTATTTGACTTTCTAGCTAGAAAAAGCCATTTGGAGAACTTTGTTCAACATATGTCAATTTTAGGGGATCATAGCTAAAGATTTTTTTAAATGAAGCTTACTCATAAAGCTGTCCAAAGAAGGCTAAGTTTTTAATCTTTGGTATGGTCTGTGTTTTAAAACCCGTGTGTCTGGGGGGGGGGGGGGCGCCAAATTGTGAGTCTGGGTTGACCTTGAACCTTTATAAAGCATTTGCTTTTAGTATTTCACTTGGCTATATTACTTTTGTCCTGTGTCATCAAGTAGTAGCCTTCTTTGTGATCAGTCCTGGGACAGTCTGACTCAAATCTCAGGGTTGGCAGCATAAAGATTGGTACACTAACTGGTTTTTGACTCTGTGTACCAGTCCCTATGAAGGAGAATGGGGCCCAACATTTTGTACAGGAGTGAAGGGAGTGAAGTCCATCAGGAAAACTGTTTGAGAGGGTCTGTTTGTCCTTGTGGGAGGATCACCAAATCTACAGGTTGCAGAGACAAAGTTTCTAGTCAGATTAGAGGTGGCCTTGTGTTTTGTGTGTCTCCTGAACAGATCTCCAATCTGTGTGCTGAAGAAGCAGCAGCCCAAGAACAGACGGGTCAAGTAGAGGAGTGTCTCAAAGTTAACCTGCTCAAAATCAAAACAGACACCTGTAAAAAGGTAACCACCATAGATTAGCTTTTCCCCTGCCTGCTTTCACTCCTTTTTCTGACATCTCTCTCTCTCTCTCTTTTTTTTTTTTAAGATTTTATTTATTTATTCATGAGAGACACAGAGAGAGGCAGAGACATAAACAGAGGGAGAAGCAGGCTCCATGCAGGGAACCCGATGTGGGACTTGATCCCGGGACTCCAGGATCACGACCTGAGCCAAAGGCAGACACCCAACCACTGAGCCACCCAGGCATCCCTTTTTCTGACATCTCAGTGACAACATCTAAACCTTCCGTCTCAGAATTACAAAACCTTAATTGGGTTCTTGACAATCACCTCTATAACTTAAGTATTCTTTCACATGTACTATTTGTGAATATGTCTCATCTGCATGACCAGACCATTGTTTAAAGGCACTGTGAATACAGTGCCGAGAGCAAAATGTCAAGTCCAGGATATCAATCAGTACACTTACTGCATCCATTAAAATCATTTGAGAATTAGCATATAAAAACAAAGTTTTCAAAATATGACTGCTAAATATACATTATCTTACAAAATTGCAACAAGGTAACATATGTGATCTTTTTTAAAAAGCTATTTTTGTCTTAAAAAATGTTTCATGATGTCATTGTTGAGCCAGTGTGACTGTTGGACACATCTTTTCATCTGCTGAAAGGCTTCCGATTGTACATGGTCTGAGGAATGGGGGGACTTGGTGGAAAGCTAAATCCAAATATTTTCCTTGGACTGTGTTGTCATCAGATGATCCCATTTAACTTTGAAGAGGACTTTTTGAACAATATTTGAGTTTTGGTTTTTGTTTTCTTGTTTTTGTTGTTGTTGTTCTACAGGGACTATAGTCTTTCTTTTGAGAGCAAATTAATTTTTATTTAAGAAAGCATTTCTGGGGGCACGTGGGTGACACGGTGTGTCAAATTAATTAATTAATTAATTAATTAAAAAAACATTTCTGGCCTGTCTTTACCTACTTTTTCATTGCGTATAAATGGAGAGACTGCAGAGCTGATTTCATTTCCATCATGATTATATTCCTCATGTTCAAAAAATATTTAAACCCAGTAAGAATTGTACCTCCAGTAAAAGTTATGCTCCCTCAGTTTGTTTTTTTCTTTTGAGGATAATGGAGGTAATATGAAATATTTTGTAAACATTGACCTTTGAGAATTTTAAGATAGCATAAAATTTTAAGATGGCAACTTACTTATAAAACTTCTTACTTATAAAAGTAAGAAAATAGCTATATTATAGCAGTATAAATACTAACATTTAGTAGTTAATAGTATGGCATGCCAGACTGCCAAAACCCAAATCTGAGTTTATAATCCTCCACTTTACTTAGCACAGAGCTTTGCTTACACTAGGTCTCCAAGTGTATTTATGGAATTAAATCAGTTGCTAAAAAATCTATATTCTTTGCATCATCCCCACATTGCCACCTATCTCAGAGTAAGTTCTCTTGTTAACCCTCAACCTTTTCTCCTTGAACTTTTTTGTTTATATATATTTGCCAGTAATGGATCTGATGCATTTCCTCTATAAAAGCTCTCTACCATGATTTTCCCTTCCTAGGAAGTGTTAAACATGCTGAAGGAAAGCAAAGCAGACATCTTTGTGGACCCAGTCCTTCATACAGCCTGTGCCCTGGACATTAAACACCACTGTGCAGCCATTACCCCTGGCCGAGGGCGTCGTAAGTCACTATTCACTCTGACCCTCTCTGAACTCTCTCAGACTCTCTCTAAGAGCACTTAGAGCTGCTCTGTTCTGTAGCTACAGCTCAGCCACAGACAACATCCTCTGGGGGCTTGGTTGATGCCAGGGCTAGGCTTTTGTGGCAGAATGAATTTAGGACTAATCCTGCAGGTTTGAACTGACCTAGCCATGTCCAGAGGTAAGGATTTGATGAAAAGGGAAGGTTGAGTTATTTATCAGGGAATCAAAACGTAGTCATCATCATTGCCCTCTTCCCCTTTATCCAAACTAGAACAGCTTCATTGACTTTCCCAGTAGCCGTACTGCATGGATCCTGGGCAGATAGAAAGTTGTTTCCAGGCCAGGCATGCCAAGTAAAAATGAGAGAGGTTTTAAGAGTCTCTGGGCAGCTAGCCTTGGAAGTTCAATATCATTCTTCTTCAAGTTAAATCTTGGGTCAAGTTTCCTAGAATGGATTTAAGTTTGTATAGCCTGTAAATCTGAATTGTCTGGTGGTGAGGTCCCCTTCTCCCCAAGCTTACAGAAACTTCTGTTCTGGATGATTTCAGACTCTTCTGCCTTTTCTTCCATAGAAATGTCCTGCCTTATGGAGGCCCTGGAGGATAAGCGGGTAAGATTACAACCTGAGTGCAAAAAACGCCTCAATGACCGGATTGAAATGTGGAGTTACGCAGCAAAGGTAATGACCAAGTGAATTACTTGAAATGGCCATCTTCTCAGTCAGTTCCCCAGATACTCCACCAGTCTTGTCCTTGTGGCAAGACCAGCAGTAAGAGTATTTGAGAAGTCTCAGTGTCCTTGAAGCCTGCTCAGCTTCCCTGCACCCGCAGCCACCATCTCCTTTTGCACTGGTCTGTGTCTGTGGGCTTTCTCCTCATTGCCCATAGTCACCCAAAGGATGGGGTTGAAGCCAACTGTGCCAGGAGAACCCAGACATCATGCCCACGGGAAAGCAAGCAGGCTGGCCACTGCTGTCTTAAAGCTTGTTTTTCTGATTCCACACAGTGTTTGGGAGGAGCATATGTATGTGAGACTAGCCCTGGGTCTTGGTGAGGTTGAAACGGGAATAATCAGGGAAAGAGACATCAGGACACCTGGCAAACTTGGACTGGGGGAGATTTTTCCTGTAAAATCAGTGAGAAGAACAGTTCTTCTCATGTATTTATTGCTTTGTGGTGTATAAAACATACTGATGGCCGTATTACCTCACTTGAACCTTGAAACCCAGCAGGTTAATGGAGTGATGATTTCCTCACTTTATGGTGGTGGAAACTGTGACTTGCCTTAAGGTCCCTCAGTGAGAAAGTCAGGTTTCTAGATCGACACTCTTGGTATCACCTAACACCAGGATGGACATTTGGGAATGTCTTGGATTAAGATAGTGACCATGAGAATAGCCCCCTCTTCCTTGACCAGTTCCTCTTGTCACCCACATGAAAGGTCAGGGGTTACAGGCAAACAGGAAGGACCACGAAAAGTCTTCATACCTAGATGTAAGGGAAATGAAGGGATCATAGCTGTCAAAGTAGCAAACACATCCCTCACCCCTTTTTCCAAGTGAACATAGTTGGCTTGGAAGCCCTCAGGTGAGGCAACAGAGAGGTGCCCAGTCTCTTCCTTGCTTCCCACTTGCCCCAGTCAGTTGCTAAGCATCGCTGCAGAATGTCTCCACTGCTTGTCTTATCTCCGCAAATGTCAGTGCTCAGATTGTATTCATCCGAAACCTTCTTACTCTGCTTTGTGTGTATGGGATGAGCACATATACATCTCTGGGCAGACCCTCTCTGGCACCGAGGCTAAGGTGAGACCCAAAAGAGCAGGTCCCTGTGCACCCTGGGGAGACTTTCAGTCCTGAATCTGCTCTCGTGGGCTGCATAAAGAGAGGTCCACTTGAGAAAGCAGCGAGGACAACAGGATGAAAACTGGCTAGACTGCAAGTCCGTGACTGTGGAAATGATGCTGTGTGTTCTGCCAGCCTGAGTCACTTTCACACATTGTTTCTACTGGGGGCAATGCTTATGATTTAATGGTGAGTGACAAACAGTCAAGATACAGAACCAGCATCCAACACAGTCTCAACCATTCTCTGTGTTTTTAAAAATAAACCAGAATACATAAGAACCTGTGACATTGTACTAGTAGCCACCTCCCATCCCTTGGGCCTCTAGGTCTTCATCTATAATATGTGAGTAATCCACTTTCAAGGATTTGTATGAGGACTAAATGATTGAAAACATGTCAGTGTGGCACCTGGGTGGCTCAGTCGGTTGAACGTCTGACTCTTGATCTCAGCTTGGATCTTGATTTCAGGGTCATGAGTTCAAGCCCTGCCATTGGCTCCATGCCGGGCATAGAACCTAGTTGGAAAACAAAACCCTGTGGGGCTCTCTCTCAGCGCCCCAGACACGGTGAGGTCTTCAGTGTAAGGGCTACTGTCAGGTTGGTGGTGGTGATTGCCATTATGAATGATATGAGACCCCACCTCTTTGTATTTGTATTTTCTTAATTTTGTACAGTAGATATATACCATGTTATGATCAGGAAAAGGAATTGCAGCACTGTGTTTGATTTACTTGTCCCTTGTCCTCTCTCCCCAAAGAAATGGCATCAGTTAAACTAGGAATTGAGGGATCCCTGGGTGGCGCAGCGGTTTAGCGCCTGCCTTTGGCCCAGGGCGCGATCCTGGAGACCCGGGATCGAATCCCACATCAGGCTCCCGGTGCATGGAGCCTGCTTCTCCCTCTGCCTATGTCTCTGCCTCTCTCTCTCTCTATCATAAATAAATAAAAAAATTAAAAAAAAAAAAAAAACTAGGAATTGAGAGAGGCGAGTTAGAGCTAGTGCTGCCCCCAGCCCGGTTCTCTCTGAGGCCAATGCTGCTGTTTGTCCTTCCAGGTGGCCCCCGCAGATGGCTTCTCTGACCTTGCCATGCAAGTGATGACCTCTCCATCAAAGAACTACATTCTCTCTGTCATCAGTGGGAGCATCTGTATATTGTTCCTGATTGGTCTGATGTGTGGACGTATCACCAAGCGAGTAACACGAGAGCTCAAGGACAGGTAGAGCCACCTTGACCAGCAGAGGAACGGCCTGTTGGTGCCCAGTGTATACAGCCCTCCTGTATAGTGTACCCACTCACCTCGTTCTTCTCGGAGGTGGCACCAACACCTGCGTTAGAGCAGCAGCAGGTATCCTCTGCACTGTCCCGTCTCCAACTTCGCCCATGTCCATGGTGTCCTCCTCCTCCTCGACCATTTTGTGCAGCATCAGCAGCTGGCCGCTTTGGTTATTGCCTGGGTTGGCAAATTTGGGTTTACCTGCCCGTAGACAAGTCTCTCTCATACCAATGGAACTACCAATACTTCCAGAACCAACTTACCTGACCTGCAACTCAAATGATTTTTTAAAAAAAAACAAACACCAAAAAAAAAAAAAAGAAATTTTTAAAGAAAGAAAAAAATGTATATAGTAACACATCTCCTCCAGGCTTGATTTGGGCAATGGGGTTATTTCTTCTGTGTGACTATAAAATGAAGGCAGGACTTTAGGGGAAAACACACACCCAATATGCTATCACTGGGATGTCTTGCTCATTTCTCAAAAGCACCTTTGGACCATGTGGGGGCCATGGACTTCACCGAGGAGTGGGAAACCACTAACCAGCCTGCTTTGGGTCTTGTTTTCTTCTGCTGAAATAGTGATGCCTTCCAGTTCCCATGTTAATAGAGCCACTGCTGGTCACGACCCCAAGGCCATGAGTATTTCTATGATCTTCTCACTTCAGTGAAGTAGAGCAAGCATGAGCTTCCCTAGGCCAACGGCACATGAGTTGGGAGGAGATCAGAAGTGTGTGAATCTGGTCAGTCACTTGATCTGCACGGGGAGGCTGGACCCTGCATCCCCAGGAGCAGGATCCCAGGCACCTTTCTCCTCCAGGCTAGCACAGGACTCAGCCACACTTGGATTGACCCTGCTGAGAGATAGCAGTTATTCTAGAAGGCCTGCCAGGAGGCAATGACTACAGGAGGGGAGGGAGCTCAGGGCAGGAAGGAGGGGGCAGGGATTGTTTCACTTTGCTTTGTGTTTCAGGCAACAGTGCAGGTCAGAGACAGTGGCTTATACAGATTTAGCATGGTCTTAGGGTATGACTGGCAGTCCAACCTGACCCTTCTGCGGGCTCAAGGCCACCTTCCCAGACAAGCTCTCTTATGCCTCTTTGTGGAGAGGACTTGGAAAGTTACTATGTTAAAAGATGGAGCTTTTTCTCCTTTTTTTTTTCCTTTCCATTTACTGCGTACACCCACTGTAGTAGGCATTGGCTAAACATTGTACTTTAATGATTCATCAGTCTTTCCAGAATCTGAGCTTTACGGAAGCAGTCTTCCTGGCCATCCTCCCTCGTCTTTCCAGTGTGGGATGGCAGGTTTGGAGTATAACGGGGAGGGGTGCAGGCATCACAGTGCAACCTGGCACACCTTAGTTTGAGTTTGGGGCGTGGAGTTATGGTGGCTGCACCAGAAGGCGGCATGTACAGTAGGAGATATATTTATATAATATATATTTTATTAACCTGTTAGACGTTCCACAGAGTATTATAAATCACGTGCCTAAAACTGTCCACATAGACCATGGCACCCTTCCTTGCCCTCGCCCTCCTTTGCCACCGTCCACGTGGGCTGCAGGACCTACACAACATTTGTCTCCCCTGAAATGTGTTCGATACAAAGTGGGTCAGTTTGTGGATCAGTTGATTCAAATTACTCCTTGTCTAATCTGACTGACATATTTTTGAATACTGTGGTTTTCTTCTTTTTGTTGTTGCTACCCTTCCTGGAGTCGGGGGTCCAGAAGCCAGCTGTATCCCCCTGCCTGGGGTACGTCCAGTCACCAAGGAGAGCTGCTAAGCTGCTTGGTCCCCTCTGTCCTGCTCTTAGGCTCTTCCTGGGATTACTCAGTCATAAAACTTGAAACTCTTGGGAGTCTAGGCCACAGCCCCCTACTACCACCTTTGTGGGACTGATTTGGGCTGGTCCAGATGGTCCACCTCCAGGAGATCCCAGCTGGGATGTGGAAGCTTGGGAAGGAGAACTGGAGATGTCATCTAAATGCAAGCCCCCAACTGATGTGTCTGGCGTGGTTTACAGGATAGAACAAACATTCACCATTTGATGAGTGTGCGGTACCATTCTCCATTTGTACATTCTCCCTCCCAGTATATGTAAAATATCTCCATAGTTGAATGTGCCTCGACATTTTGGTTTTGTCTGAAGTGAGAGACAGTCTCATTAGTTGTCTGCAGCAAATCTGGATGCTTGAAAAGGAGTTTGATTCTTGAAATATTTGTCATCTTTAGAAATGGTCAAAATAAAAGGGATACTTCTGCCAGTATTTTCAGTTGCTTGTTGCTAGAAAAGCATTTCACCATCCTGCTTGGAATAGTTTCGTGTGGCTGGTTCTTGAGAGTCCCAGGTGGTGTCCTGAGCAGTGTTCTACCTCCAGGGGGCCCAGCACCTTCTGAACCTGCAGCCCAGCTGTATCCATTCTGGCCCTCATTCCGTGTAACAGCACTGGTTCTGGGCCTCTTGGGTTTGTCGTGCGTAAATCAGCTAGTCAAGGGTTAATCAAAAAGGAAACCATGGCCCTAGTGGAAGAGCCAATCTCTTCTGGTATCTAGCCCATGAACAATAACAAACAGCCAGTGTTGGGCCCTGGGGGGTGGGGGGTGGGGTGGTAGGGAGGGTGGGGGTGGGATTGGGTATTGGGGGATTCCAAGGTCAAGACTTCAGGCACTTGCTGAAAATTACAGTAGCCAGGTTACTCATCTAGTCTTGTCCGTGCACTCACACTTAGCTCCACAACACTCAAGAGGCACAGGAGCCTTCTCTCCTGGGCTGGGAGATCAGAAGTGCAGGCAGACTGGCAAGAACAGGACTGTTCCCTCTGAGTTCCTCTCATGGGCAGTAGCTCTGGAAGTGAGACCCTTACCTTGGTGCGTCCCTGGCCTTCCTCTCCTCTTGCTACTGTCCCAGGAAGAGTCTGCTAGCAAGATGTGCCGAGGTGGGAGCAGAGCAAAGGCTTGGGTTTGCTCTGAGTAGGAAAGCCTTCCTCCTCTGTATTTCCTGGAGACCCTGTGGTGCTGCTCCCAGCTCTGTGGGTCCGTCAGCTTGTTCTGAGCCTGCGCATCCTAAGAAGCCAGGAGATTCTGGTACTCAGCAGACCTTCCTCTGTCTCCTGTCCTGCACTTCCTTTTCTGGGGGACAGTGAACAGCTCCACTGGGGAAAGAGGAGAGGGAGATTCTGCTTTCCCGAGAGGTGACAGAATGATCAGATCTCACTTCTTTCCATTTCCTGAAGTCATGTAATAAAAGAATCCAGTTGTAAAGAGGTCTGTATTACCCGAGGTCTGTATATGTTAAACATACCATCAGACAAAGCAGAAAGGAGCTTTTCTGCTGACTCCCTCTACTTTCCCAAGAAAAGATTCACTCTCGTGTGTGAGTTTGATCTCTGGAAATGCCTCCCCTCCTCCCCACCCCAGGCTGTGGCACAGCTTCAGCCCAAAGACCCCACTACCATGAGTCATCTGGGGAGAAGTAGATTGCTTCATGGGGCCTCCTTTCTCAGCTGGTCTCAAGTTCTGAGAAAAGGCTTCACTTCCTGTTTCTTCCCCTTCCCCAACAAAAACTACCCGCATTCCCTGGACAGCTTTGTTACGTCAGTGGATACAGAGAGCCACGGACGCCAGCCAACCTATGTTTCACCTAGATTTTGCCACAGAACAAAAAGAAGAGGGCTTTTTGAATTGTGTGCATTTTGGTATATATTATTTGTATTTCAGAGTCTTAGGAATTTGGGAAACCTGAAAGATCCCTTTTTTTCCTCACCATTTGGACGGCACCTGCGTTGCTTTATCAAATGCAGCACTCCAGTACCCTGAGTTTCTCCTGGGCCTTTAGGGACAGTTCTCTTTCTTCACCTCTTCTCCCCTGGCCCCTGATTCCCAAGGGCCGTGGGGCCAGAGCTGATGTTCTGGCCTGCCTCTGTCTTTCTTAACTGTCTCTCATTTGTCTCTGGTCAGCCATCTCTCTAGTACACTCCTTTTGGTCCTCTTCTCCTTAGGACCAGAGTCACATGTTAGGGCAGTGAGTTTGAAGGCAAATCCCCTTCCTGCCCCGACCTCAGACAACAGACAACTCATAGCAAACCCAGACAGACTCTTCAGAGTGACAAGCTTCCCCAAGCCATTTATTTAGTGAGGTCACGGTGGAGCCCCAGGGACTGTTTGTCATCTGGAGCCTGGAGTGGGACTCTCTGCTTGGGCTAGTGGTGACAGGATCCTGATGGCAGGATCCCTCCCCCTTTCCCAAGATCTGTCACAACACACTGGTAGGGATGTTAGGATACGGGCAGTAGAGAAACCTCCCTGGGCAAGGAGAAAATTCAGATAGTGCCTCTATATTCTGTTTTTGCCTTCCCCCATCATGGAGTCAACACCTGGACCCCAGAGCCCAGCAGGCCTACGCCAGAGCCAGGGAGGTGAGACCAGGCCCCCCGAGGCAGGCTGTGGTGCCTGGGGAGGAGTGGCCGGCAGGAGTGCTGGCAGCAGGAGGCTTCATGAGCGGCTGCTCCTGGCTCCGTGTTCCCTGGTCAGTCCAAATGGGAAAACAGACTGGACAGCAGATGCTGTGTGTGATCTTAGGCCTTGAACTTTTTTTTTTTTAAGAAAGAAAAAAAAAGTAAAATTAACAAGCCTCTTTTGTAAATGATTTTTCTTTCTATGTATAAAATCCCGGCAGTTCCTTGTTTTTACATGTTCATGCTGTGTAATTTTGAGATGTTACTGAGATCCTGAACATAATGTGCATTTTTTTCTGTACAGATGAAATGGGAGAATTTAATAAAGAGTTTGCAGGTTTTTACTTGTGAAATCTTCTCTGGTGACTGGGAGGACCCCTCCAGCTGTCCACCTGTGTGCACTTCGGAACTTGATTCTGATGCTCCCCTCACTTGCTGGCGTCCTTTCTATCTCCTCAACTCAGTAGGTCAAGCAGAGTAAGACGTAGGACCTTCAGGAGGCCAGATCCAAGGTTTCCTCTCAGGCTGAGGTGTTGGGAATTAATTCACTTTACTAAGGTGTTTAAGCTGTATACTAAGGCTCCTTTCTGGGGAGAGCTTATAGACGGGACCAGAACTAGACCACATTTTTTTTCCATGCCCCACCCGGTCCCGCTGTTGGCTAGCCCTAGCTTCCCCATCCCAACAGCCCAATCCCAGAGCCAGTGACCTCTGTGACACCCTTCTGGAGCCTTCTGACTCCTCCTCTGTCAGCAAAGCAAATGTGTCGGGACATTACAAAGTCTTCAGCTAAGGAGTTGGCACCGTAACAAGGATTTCTCAAAGTAGACATGTGCGTACCAGGATTAGAGTGCTGGGATGCCCAGTGAGAGCAGACTGGGGTGTCCTGAGAATTCCTCAGATTCATTTTCAGCAACTGCCACACATGGTGTAGTGTAGAGGCCAGGAGAAGGTGAAGTATAGAAGAAGAAAGGAGGAAGAGGGCTTGGGAGTCTTGGGGTCTCAATTGCAAATACTCTATGTAGGAAGCCATGGGCAGCCATCACTCTGAATGGGAGGAGTCGGGCTAGGTGCTCTTTAGAGTCCTGGAGAGGCTACCCCACTGTGGTGTGAGCATGGGAAATGAGGCACCGGGTTCAGGCTCCTTGTCATTGGTATTCCCACAAAGGAGAAGTGGGTTACTTAGCTCTGCTGCACGTGGCCCCTTGAGGGAACACTACAGCAGTCATAGGGACAGTGCTGCCTTAGCAGTCTCCGAATGAATCACCCTACCTGTAAAATTCTGTGCGATCTTTCTAGTAAAAGGTCCTTGGCCAACTTTAATCCTCAGAAGCATTTGGCATCTGTTCTCAAAAGGAGGTAAGAATGAAAACATTTTAACCAAAAAAGGGGAGAACCTTAGACACCCACCTCTCGACTAGATGAAGAAGTGAGAGAGGGCAGATGTGACCCGGCTTTCTCAGTAAGCAGCAAAACATGATTGTCTGCCTCTGGCATATGTGTGTCCCTCTGACTAGCCAGGTTGGCTTTGGGCTTATGACTGTCAGGCTCCAGGCTGGCGTGACTGACCTGTCCCAGAATGTGCCGACCCTGTAGAAGCGTCCACTGGGAGTCTTGGTCCTAGGATCCCACCTCCCTTGCCCATAACAACCAACAGCACAACAGTGTCTTCACAAAATTCTCTGTATTTATGGAGAAATTTGGACAGTCTGGGAGAGAAAGGGGGGGGGAAAGGGGTCACGAAAGGCAGCAGACTAGGAGGAAGCTGGCTGGAGCAAGGAGGGAGGGTCCGGAGCACAGGCAGCCCCTTGGAGGACTTGGAATCTGCTGGGCAGAGGCTAGAGACCGTTTAGACTGGGGGTGGTAGGTAGGTGGGTGGATCTAAGCCCAAGAGAAGGTAAAAGCCTCAGCCAAGGGGCCACAGAGAGGTGAGGGCAGAACTGGGACCAGACTCAGGTGCTCTTGACTAGGTCTACACCCTTTCCAGCCAGAATCTGAGGGCTCAGCTCTGACTCTGCAGTGTCCACGGGAGCTTCCCAGAACCTCCTGTGGGAGGGCCCCTCTGCTCTCTGACCTGAATACCCTGTGTTCCTGTCCTCAGACCGTTAGGTCAGCATCTAGGGATCCATACCTAGAGGAATGTATCCACTCTTCTCAGGAGTTTCATTCCAGTTCTCTAGTTCTGGGCTTCTCTTGCACCCTGGAACAGAGCAGATTCCCTTTAAGTGGCTTCCCCTGCTGTATCCCCCAAAGGAAATAAATAGACATTCGCCATGAGAGGACGTGGAAGCCAGTGACAGAGCAGGTTTTAGGGCTTTAGGGACACCTGGTCCCCCAATGTCATTGCATAGGCTCCAAAGCCAAGTCCAGGCTTCATCCAGAAGCTGGGCCAGAGCCAAGGGTTCATCACACACAGCAGTGCCTGTCTTGACCTTCCAGTTTGCTGGGGTGGGGGTGGGAGGAACAACTGACCACAGGGTTCCAGGTTGTTGCATCAGAAATACAAGAGCACAACCCCAGGGTTCTGTGTACTCACACTGGCCACAGGGCAAGGATAGCACAACTTCTGAGACTCCGCTCTGGTGCAAGCCTTGGCAAGTCACAGGACATGCCAGCTGCCTCCCAGCACAGCTGCAGCCAGCTGACCACGGGATCCCCAGCTCCTCCAGTGGAGTCCTCTCCCTTCTGGGATAGGCCTTGCAGGACCCAGGAGACCCTCAGAGGGTCAGGATTGTGTCCTAGCACCACACAAAGTACATGGAAGGGAGGACCCGAGGCAGGGATGAACAGGCTCAGCTCAGGTGGCCAGAAAG